TATTCACATTTAGGATACACATAAATTGAACATTGTTTCGACAATTTATAAGCCCGGCATTTTAAACACGGTGGTTCAAATATACCGGAAAATGAGATTGTGTGCCCCGAGTACTGTACCCATTTTTTAAACATATTTAAAATAGTTCGGCGTTATATTTTACTATGGATCTTACCTGCATTTCAACAGAGAGAGCGTTGCTCCTTTTTGTTGTCTTTCTAGTTGATCTCTTACTGTATCTGCTATACACACAATGTGTTCTCTACTAAACCGGTATCTTGCTCGGATTTGGTAGTCGTCAAGTTCATCCAACACATTAAAATCTCGATGGACTCGCTGAATGCGCTGTCTTCCAAGTACATCAAACATTATATTCATCGCGGCCTTTTTTAGTCTTATAATGAAGGTTTAAGGATGCCCCCGACCATCATTAAATATTGACGACTTAATGAAGCTTTAATGAACCGCTAATCATTCATCAGCGTTAATGAACGTTTGAGCAACGTCATCATTTTCCTAATGACGTCATGCTATTTAATGAAGGTTTAATGAAGGTTTAATCCATCATTAACTTTAAATGAACGTTCGAGCAACCGGCCCAAGACGTTTTAACTTCTCTTAAAGGCTTCTTCAGATATTGTTGTTTGAAATTTCAAATCTTAATTTTAAAGCTTTTAACCCACATTGACCTTTGACTCCGGCTAGCACTTGAAGTTGACATTTGACATCATTTACTGTAATACAGAAAAATATTTGCACTGCTAGTCTACATATAGCATAACCAAGTATCATGACTCTAGACCAAATGCTTCTTAATATATCATTGTTTGAAGTTTTTAACATATTTAACCCCAGTGAAAGTAGGTCAAGGTCCTTTTAATGACGAAACTTTATAGCACTTCATCCCAAGTACCTACTTGCCAAATATTTTGAGCCTGTGCCCTATGGAACTTGAAAAGAAGATTGTCAAAGCTTATAACCAACGATGACCTATGACCCCTGACTAGCAACTGTAACAAACAAAAAGATTCATATTGCTAGCCTGCATAACATACCAAAGTATCACGACTTTAGTCCAAATGGTACTTAGGATATTGTTGTTTGAGGTTATTAATATATTTGACCCCTGTGACCTTAAAAGTAGGTCAAGGTCCTTTTAATGACGACAATTTATAGCACTTCATCCCAGTTACCTACTGGCCAAATATCATGACCCTGGGCCTTATGGAACTTGAAAAGAAGATTGTTAAAGCTTTTAACCCATGTTGACGTTTGACCCCGACTAGCACTAAAGTTGACCTTTGACCTCATTCCTGTATCAAAGAAAAAGATTTGCACTGCTGGTCTACAAAACGTACCCTAGTATCATGACTCTAGTCCAAATGGTTCATAGGATATTGTTATTTGAAGTTTTTAACATATTTGACCCATGTGACCCTGAAAGTAGGTCAAGGTCATTTTAATCAGGAAACTTTATAGCACTCTATCCCTGCATCCATCTATTTACTGCATATAACATGGAATAAAACATTTTTGTTATTCGGAAGCGTCCAATTACTTTGTTAGAACCAAAACTGAAGATTAATTGATATCTATAAGGATTTTAGGGAGGTTTACACTAGACATACGGTCCAGATAATACTATCATCATTTAAAAGTGAATATATCACAATACTCTCATAAAAAAAGCAAATAATGAAAATAGTGAAACTTATAGATGGATGTTTTTCTCTAACCAAGGTTAGAAAAAAAATCAACAATATTTTTTATTCATGTGTTAAACAAAAGGTTAACCAATAACTTCTATATCCACTATTTTTATATATTTAATTATGAAGAAACTTTTTTTCTTGTGTTTACATATGTTCTTTAACACTCAATTCCATCCCGAGTGTTATGTAATGTATATGAACAGATCACCCGTTGTCAGTATAATGTGACCGGGTGGGGTGTCCTGCTGGGTGTCTTTGGCAGTATGTTTCAGTGAGGTAGCACTATAAAGGCGGCATCAGTTTCGCACTATCACAAGGAGACTAACACGAACATATCGCAGCCTCCCAAAACACACACACATACACTGCACGCATGCATCTTGCACACAGGGGAGGCCGTCCTTAAATGGCCATAGCTGTTGATAGGACTTTAAACAATACTAAACCAAACCAATCTAATCTTCAATAAGATTCATCAGTTCGGAAATATGTGATATTAAAGTTTTACTTTTTACACAAACAATGTACGTATTAAATGTGTCGCAATGTTTCAAGACTGACTGGTCCCTTTGTCAAGCTATGACAAGCTATGACTCATAGCTTGACAAAGGGACCAGTCGGTCTGGAAACAGAGTTTTAGGTGGAATGCTGGCTAATTGCAATTAACCAAAGATAAAGGAATCAAATGCATTATACTTGCTCTGATGTTTTATCGATCAGATCCTACAGCTGGAAACGAAGCAAGCGACTTTGATAGTATTGGTAAGTATACACTGGACAAGTTTTGTTGTCATTATTCCTTCAAAAGACATACTAGGTAATATGAAGAGAACCAGCCAATCAGATCACAGCAGCCCCATTAAAACCAATATATTTTACTTAGCATCAAACTTGAGTTATCAAGGTTATATTTTGTTAGAAAGTATATTTTGCAGTTTTCATGGAAATCTGATCATTCTGATCACAGCAGCCTCATTAAACATGCTTAAATTTGGACAAGCATCAAACTTGATTGAGGAAATGGGGCATAAGTTCACCGAAAAAGTCCTGTCATTCCTAAAGTAAAAGAAGGATTTCGAAGAATTTGCTATGTTGCCCCTATTAGGATCCGCCCCTCTGCCCCCAGGGGGGTCAGACCATCGTTTTCCCCTTCACCCAAGGATGCTTTAGACCAAATATTGACATAATCCTGCCATTCCTACAAAAGAAGAAGGATTTTAAAGCTATTTTTCTACTTTCCCTATTTGGCCCTGCCTCTCTGCCACAAGGTTGGTCCGACCCACTGTTTATACAAATTTGTTCCCCTTCACCCAAAGGATGCTTCGTTCCAAATTTAATCAAAATCCTGTCATTTTCAGAATTTTGAAGAATTTTCTATGTTTTGCCTATTGGGCCCCCACCCCTCAGGCCCCAGGGGGTTCAAACCCACCACGTTTACAAAATTGATTTCCCTTCCAAATAGGATGCTACTGTTCAAACTTGGTCAAAATACCTTTATCCCAACAGCAGAAGATGGATGTTAAAGCTATACCTCTTTATCCCTTATTGGGCACTGCCTCTCTGCCTCGAGGGGGGTCAGACCCACCATTTATACAAAACTGGTTCCCCTTCATCCAATTCAAGGGTGCTTCATACCAAATTTGGACAAAATCCTGTCATTCCTACAGAAGAAGAAGGATTTTGAAGAATTTGCTATGTTTTTCTTGTCGTATTTTCGTGTCATCATTTCCGTATTGTGTATCGGGCATTCCTTTACCGTAGTGTAAATTATAGTAACACCAGGTAAACAATAGTACACGTGCGTGACGATGATATGTATACACCCGATATTGAGACCTAACTTGGAAATGTATAACCACACAAACTTCAGAAATAAAGCTTATGATAGAAAGACATTAATTAACTCACGGGAAGACACTGACATAAGATCAGACGACTTCCAGAAGGTCGTAAATGAGGCGTATGGAATGCAGACTGATGTATTTGGTTTACCGATCTCACCTGTACATATCACGTGCTAACAGTGGTTCACAAGCTCTGGGTCGCTACAACTTTTGTTGTCGAGCGAGTTACGCTCTGTGAGATCATGCAATTACAATAACTCTGTGATAATATTGGTTTGTAAGATATCAGGATCCCTATAAAAAGCAAGTGCATGTGCGTGCACGTGATAATGGCATACCATATGCGATAGCGTATGGTTACATATGTACCTGACATGTAAATATACCATGCGTAAGCGGGGTAGCAAATGATGTCCAATGTGTACATGATTGAGAGTAATTTTGTTCCATAAAAGAACAGTAAATTGACGTTTTAATATAGTAATTTATTTATTTCTGTCGTTTTTTGGAATAGTAAAAAAAAATATCTGTCATCGTATAAATTCTATCCCTCTAGGTCTGCAAAAAGTTCCAATTTTTTTTCAAGGTAGACACTTCAATCAGGATCCAAATTACTGTTAAATGTAAAATAAATGAATTATAAAGACTTTGTGTGTATTTGGTTCAATTTTTCACTCTTTTTGTATGAAACTATATGTGTCCTGTTTGCTTTTAGCTTGTTTATAGAAATTTGTATCCATAAAAATTCAATAAAAAAACACTTTGTGTAATATGTTGTAGATATTTTATGATAACTAAAATATTTGTAGGGTTGATTAGCAATGCTTCTTTTCATTATTTTATTGTTGTAATAGTTTTGAACAATTAATGCCACACACTCAAAAGATGTGAAAGTGTTAAATTTGAAGAAAATATAATTGGTATTTTTTATTAAAAAAACACACCAGTTTATCGGAATGCTTAGATTTTCATAAAATCATCTCTACATAGTGACATTTCCATTATGTGAAACTTTCATTGCATTAAGTCCCTTTTTCCCAAGGATGAGCTTTCTAAAAAGCACTTACAATGACCCTATTTACCTAAATAAAATCTTAAAATACCCTAGCTTAAGCTGTTTGATGAATGAACTACTGTAAACTGGAAAATTTTCACTCAGCCAAATTTTCACCTTTCAAGGGTAAAAAATATTTTTGCCCAATATTAAATTTGCCCTCATATTTCATACCTATGTATCTTATGTCATTTAAAAATGTTCGCTGTAATGATAAATTTGCCCTCATTACGGAGGGCGGAAATGGTCAAAATGAAAATTGATAGAGCAAATATCAAATAATTACTATTATTATTATATTATTATATGTCATTATATTCAAAATGTACATAACTTTGATGCACTCACTTCTGAATTATTTTGCTTCAAAAAGTACAATATAAAACCTACCTTTACGTAGTGGACCTGCATAAAACTTTTATCAGGATTCATTCCATTTTTCACATAAACAATACTGGACTCCTCTTGATTGCCTTCTTTGTTTGGCCTGTAACACAATCGAATCAGTTATATCTCATTCTGTCAGAATAAGGCAACAACTTGGAAAATAAGGAATGTCAGTTGTTACCAATATTTTGCAAAAGGCAAACTACATGGAAAGGGAGATAACCTGCATTCATTAAAAAACTTTTGACTGACAAAAATTATAGATAATATTCAAGTCATAACTATAATTAATGATGAAAATGAGTGGACAAAACAACCAATAGAAAAGGTGGTTTATAGGTTGTATAATACCCATTACACACATAGTGTCTGTGTATATACTATACACAATAGGGCAGGCATTACCTGAGTGTTTGTGTATATACTATACACACTATGGCAGGTATTACCCGAGTGTCTGTGTATATACTATACACACTACGGCAGTTATTTCCTGAGTGTCTGTGTATATACTATACACACTAGGGCAGGTATTACCTTAGTGTCTGTGTATATACTATACACACTACGACAGGTATTACCTGAGTGTCTGTGTATATACTATACACACTAGGGCAGGTATAACCTTAGTGTCTGTGTATATACTACACACACTACGGCAGGTATTACCTGAGTGTCTGTGTATATACTATACACACTACAGCAGGTATTACCTGAGTGTCTGTGTATATACTATACACACTAGGGCAGGTATTACCTGAGTGTCTGTGTATATACTATACACACTACGGCAGGTATTACCTGAGTGTCTGTGTATATACTATACACACTAGGGCAGGTATTACCTGAGTGTCTGTGTATATACTATACACACTACGGCAGGTATTACCTGAGTGTCTGTGTATATACTATACACACTAGGGCAGGTATTACCTGAGTGTCTGTGTATATACTATACACACTACGGCAGGTATTACCTGAGTGTCTGTGTATATACTATACACACTAGGGCAGGTATTACCTGAGTGTCTGTGTATATACTATACACACTACGGCAGGTATTACCTGAGTGTCTGTGTATATACTATACACACTAGGGCAGGTATTACCTGAGTGTCTGTGTATATACTATACACACTAGGGCAGGTAATACCCGAGTGTCTGTGTATATACTATACACACTATGGCAGGTATTACCTGAGTGTCTGTATATATACTATACACAATAGGGCAGGTATTACCTGAGTGTCTGTGTATAACCCGAGTGTCTGTGTATATACTATACACACTAGGGCAGTTATTACCCGAGTGTCTGTGTATATACTACACACAATACAGCAGGTATTACCTGAGTGTCTGTGTATATACTATACACACTACGGCAGGTATTACCTGAGTGTCTGTGTATATACTATACACACTAGGGCAGGTATTACCTGAGTGTCTGTGTATATACTATACACACTATGGCAGGTATTACCTGAGTGTCTGTGTATATACTATACACACTAGGGCAGGTATTACCCGAGTGTCTGTGTATATACTATACACACTAGGGCAGGTATTACCCGAGTGTCTGTGTATATACTATACACACTACGGCAGGTATTACCTGAGTGTCTGTGTATATACTATACACACTAGGGCAGGTATTACCTGAGTGTCTGTGTATATACTATACACACTACGGCAGGTATTACCTGAGTGTCTGTGTATATACTATACACACTAGGGCAGGTATTACCTGAGTGTCTGTGTATATACTATACACACTACGGCAGGTATTACCTGAGTGTCTGTGTATATACTATACACACTAGGGCAGGTATTACCTGAGTGTCTGTGTATATACTATACACACTAGGGCAGGTATTACCCGAGTGTCTGTGTATATACTATACACAATACGGCAGGTATTACCTGAGTGTCTGTGTATATACTATACACACTACGGCAGGTATTACCTGAGTGTCTGTGTATATACTATACACACTAGGGCAGGTATTACCTGAGTGTCTGTGTATATACTATACACACTATGGCAGGTATTACCTGAGTGTCTGTGTATATACTATACACACTAGGGCAGGTATTACCTGAGTGTCTGTGTATATACTATACACACTACGGCAGGTATTACCTGAGTGTCTGTGTATATACTATACACACTAGGGCAGGTATTACCTGAGTGTCTGTGTATATACTATACACACTACGGCAGGTATTACCTGAGTGTCTGTGTATATACTATACACACTAGGGCAGGTATTACCCGAGTGTCTGTGTATATACTATACACAATACGGCAGGTATTACCTGAGTGTCTGTGTATATACTATACACACTAGGGCAGGTATTACCCGAGTGTCTGTGTATATACTATACACAATACGGCAGGTATTACCTGAGTGTCTGTGTATATACTATACACACTACGGCAGGTATTACCTGAGTGTCTGTGTATATACTATACACACTAGGGCAGGTATTACCTGAGTGTCTGTGTATATACTATACACACTATGGCAGGTATTACCTGAGTGTCTGTGTATATACTATACACACTACGGCAGGTATTACCTGAGTGTCTGTGTATATACTATACACACTAGGGCAGGTATTACCTGAGTGTCTGTGTATATACTATACACACTACGGCAGGTATTACCTGAGTGTCTGTGTATATACTATACACACTAGGGCAGGTATTACCTGAGTGTCTGTGTATATACTATACACACTACGGCAGGTATTACCTGAGTGTCTGTGTATATACTATACACACTAGGGCAGGTATTACCTGAGTGTCTGTGTATATACTATACACACTACGGCAGGTATTACCTGAGTGTCTGTGTATATACTATACACACTAGGGCAGGTATTACCCGAGTGTCTGTGTATATACTATACACACTATGGCAGGTATTACCTGAGTGTCTGTATATATACTATACACAATAGGGCAGGTATTACCTGAGTGTCTGTGTATAACCCGAGTGTCTGTGTATATACTATACACACTAGGGCAGTTATTACCCGAGTGTCTGTGTATATACTACACACAATACGGCAGGTATTACCTGAGTGTCTGTGTATATACTATACACACTAGGGCAGGTATTACCTGAGTGTCTGTGTATATACTATACACACTATGGCAGGTATTACCTGAGTGTCTGTGTATATACTACACACAATAGGGCAGGTATTACCTGAGTGTCTGTGTATATACTATACACACTACGGCAGGTATTACCTGAGTGTCTGTGTATATACTATACACACTAGGGCAGGTATTACCTGAGTGTCTGTGTATATACTATACACACTAGGGCAGGTATTACCCGAGTGTCTGTGTATATACTATACACACTACGGCAGGTATTACCTGAGTGTCTGTGTATATACTATACACACTAGGGCAGGTATTACCTGAGTGTCTGTGTATATACTATACACACTATGGCAGGTATTACCTGAGTGTCTGTGTATATACTATACACACTAGGGCAGGTATTACCTGAGTGTCTGTGTATATACTATACACACTACGGCAGGTATTACCTGAGTGTCTGTGTATATACTATACACACTAGGGCAGGTATTACCCGAGTGTCTGTGTATATACTATACACAATACGGCAGGTATTACCTGAGTGTCTGTGTATATACTATACACACTACGGCAGGTATTACCTGAGTGTCTGTGTATATACTATACACACTAGGGCAGGTATTACCTGAGTGTCTGTGTATATACTATACACACTACGGCAGGTATTACCTGAGTGTCTGTGTATATACTATACACACTAGGGCAGGTATTACCTGAGTGTCTGTGTATATACTATACACACTACGGCAGGTATTACCTGAGTGTCTGTGTATATACTATACACACTAGGGCAGGTATTACCCGAGTGTCTGTATATATACTATACACACTAGGGCAGGTATTACCCGAGTGTCTGTGTATATACTATACACACTAGGGCAGGTATTACCCGAGTGTCTGTGTATATACTATACACACTATGGCAGGTATTACCTGAGTGTCTGTATATATACTATACACACTAGGGCAGGTATTACCCGAGTGTCTGTGTATATACTATACACACTATTGCAGGTATTACCTGAGTGTCTGTTTATATACTATACACACTAGGGCAGGTATTACCTTAGTGTCTGTGTATATACTATACACACTACGACAGGTATTACCTGAGTGTCTGTGTATATACTATACACACTAGGGCAGGTATAACCTTAGTGTCTGTGTATATACTACACACAATAGGGCAGGTATTACCTGAGTGTCTGTGTATATACTATACACACTACGGCAGGTATTACCTGAGTGTCTGTGTATATACTATACACACTAGGGCAGGTATTACCTGAGTGTCTGTGTATATACTATACACACTACGGCAGGTATTACCTGAGTGTCTGTGTATATACTATACACACTAGGGCAGGTATTACCCGAGTGTCTGTGTATATACTATACACACTAGGGCAGGTATTACCTGAGTGTCTGTGTATATACTATACACACTACGGCAGGTATTACCTGAGTGTCTGTGTATATACTATACACACTAGGGCAGGTATTACCCGAGTGTCTGTGTATATACTATACACACTAGGGCAGGTATTACCTGAGTGTCTGTGTATATACTATACACACTACGGCAGGTATTACCTGAGTGTCTGTGTATATACTATACACACTAGGGCAGGTATTACCTGAGTGTCTGTGTATATACTATACACACTACGGCAGGTATTACCTGAGTGTCTGTGTATATACTATACACACTAGGGCAGGTATTACCTGAGTGTCTGTGTATATACTATACACACTACGGCAGGTATTACCTGAGTGTCTGTGTATATACTATACACACTAGGGCAGGTATTACCTGAGTGTCTGTGTATATACTATACACACTACGGCAGGTATTACCTGAGTGTCTGTGTATATACTATACACACTAGGGCAGGTATTACCTGAGTGTCTGTGTATATACTATACACACTACGGCAGGTATTACCTGAGTGTCTGTGTATATACTATACACACTAGGGCAGGTATTACCTGAGTGTCTGTGTATATACTATACACACTACGGCAGGTATTACCTGAGTGTCTGTGTATATACTATACACACTATGGCAGGTATTACCTGAGTGTCTGTGTATATACTATACATACTAGGGCAGGTATTACCAGAGTATCTGTGTATATACTATACACACTACGGCAGGTATTACCCGAGTGTCTGTGTATATACTATACACAATAGGGCAGGTATTACCTGAGTGTCTGCAGCTCCTCGTCTGTGTGCTCTAGTTCAGCGACTAGTGTCCTGTATCTGAGGAGGTCTCTTATCTCTCGATGGTGGTCCCCATACTCCTCGGTCCATCCCCCTACAGTCTGTTTGTAGAACACAACCAAATCTTTCATCAAAAATTTTAAAAAAAAGTCCTATATGCAAATAGTAATTAAGGATAGATCTTTTTTCTTTCAATGACTTGTTAAGTGTTTTAGTCAAAATTTATAAATGATAAGAAAACATTTTGGTTTCATATATACATACTGTTATGATCCCGCAATAAGCTGGAGGATGGGCCGCTTTTCTACTAAATTGCAATAGGTAGATATGGAAGGGTTTCTTACCAGACATAGGCTTATTGTCAGATAATTGTAGTATGTAGATTTATAATATTTATACATTACAGTACCTGCATAGCTAGGTTGTGTATGATATCCTCTGTGTAAGTACAGAAACCCTCAGTTAGCCATTCTTCTGTCCAGTCGCTTGGACCAATTGCTAGGCCAAACCAAGAGTGACTGACCTCATGGGCAATGCGGACACACATGCTGAAGTCTCCCACCAGCACAGACTGTGACAGGTACAACATACTGGGACTATAAGTAAATTTATAAAACACATATTACATCTCACACCACAGGGCTGGATCCAGGAGGGTCCAGGTCGGCTGGGCTATCCTCTTTTATAGCAATTAAAGATTTATTTTGAACATCATTATTTTAAAAGAGAATCTACATTTTGTATATTGAACATCCTCAAAAAGATTTTGCCCAACTCCACTTGGTGTAAGGATTAATTACTCAAACGTTTGACAGGATATTTCGCGCCTTGATCCCGATTAACATAACCCTGTATCATTGTTGGAAAACATCAATTATTAATTCCTGGTTATGTTTAATTCTAGAGGTCATTTTTTCATTTAAAAAATTATAACAGGTCACGGAAAAAAAATAAACATTTGTTTCTCTTGTGGGCTTCGCCTCAATATACATTTTTCAAAGTGTTGTGAGCTATTGTAGAGATTACCAGTGAAGCTGAAGAAAATTGACAAATCAACCCAGCAACAATTTGTTTAATATGTGGTCAGTTAGATGTGTGACAGTCTATGTGGACAGTTAGATGTGTGACAGTCTATGTGGTCAGTTAGATGTGTGACAGTCTATGTGGTCAATTAGATGTGTGACAGTCCATGTGGTCAGTTAGATGTGTGACAGTCTATGTGGTCAGTTAGATGTGTGACAGTTAGTATGTGGTCAGTTAGATGTGTGACAGTCTATGTGGTCAGTTAGATGTGTGACAGTCTATGTGTTCAGTTAGATGTGTGACAGTCTATGTGGTCAGCTAGATGTGTGACAGTCTATGTGGTCAGTTAGATGTGTGACAGTCTATGTGGACAGTTAGATGTGTGACAGTCTATGTGGTCAGTTAGATGTGTGACAGTCTATTTGGTCAGTTAGATGTGTGACAGTCTATGTGGTCAGTTAGATGTGGTCAGTTAGATGTGTGACAGTTAGATGTGTGACAGTCTATGTGGTCAGTTAGATGTGTGACAGTCTATGTGGTCAGTTAGATGTGGTCAGTTAGTATGTGGTCAGTTAGATGTGTGACAGTTAGATGTGGTCAGTTAGATGTGTGACAGTTAGATGTGTGACAGTCTATGATCCCCTCATCTTGATTCAGAACAGGCCCATTGCAATCCATCAAATTACCTACAAGCAATATGACGAAAGAAGAGCAGGTCTCACCTAAAAAACTTCCCCCTCCCCCAGAAGCTTAGTATAATTTGTTACTGATACAGGGCCCTAATTAGGATCTAGTGTCTTCGGGGCAAGTAGTATATGCAAACACATCACTCCTCAAAAAATTTGAACCCCTATTTTCAAAAATTCTTAAATCCACCACTGCACTGACAGACAGTAACAGAAATAACATATATACTAATGCACGGAATGGAAATAAAGAAGCAAAATTTAATGATAAACTTCCTACAATAATTGCTGATTTTGTACTTCATTTTTCATATTTTCGGCTAATAAGGCATGATTTGGTTTGCTTTTATTTGGATTGTTCATGTTTTACATTCTATTAATAACTATGGGCATTTAAGGATGTGCCAGGTTCTGGTGATGGAGGAAAATTGGAATGCCCGAGGAAACCAACATAACCTGCAGCCAGTACCTGGCGACTGCCCCACGTGTAGGCCTCTATTAACCCACAATAGTGGTGGGGGGCTTATGATCTTAAACAGTCAGACATCATAACCACGTGGCACACCTACATTAATTAAAATTTACTGTTTTGTTAATTTTTGTTTAATCTTTACACATATAAATTATATATGTATATGTAAAGCAATCATTTTTATAACTTAATTAAACAAGAGGCCCATAGGGCCTATATCGCTCACCTGGATAATAAAGCAACAATGGGAAATTATTTTTATTACATAAAATCCCTCCAATGGTACAGAAGGAGAAAGATTTTAAAGATTTAAACCTCATATTTCCCTATTGGGCCCGTCAACATTCAGCACCCAGACGGGTCTCATCCTTCGTTTATACAAAATTTCATCCCCTTTTCCCAAGGATGCTCCAGATTGATTTGGGATAAAATCCCTTAATTCCTATGGTAGAAGAAGGATTCCAAAGGTTTTTACCTCTTTTTCCCCTATTGGGCCTCGCAATTCTGCAAACAGGGGGTCCAAATTAAACCCACTGTTCATACAAAATTCAGTCCCCTTAGCCCAAGGATGCTCCAGACCAAATTAGGATAAAATCCCTTAACTCCTATTGTAAAAGAAGGATTTTAAAGGTTATCCCTCTATTTCCCCCTATTGGGGCCCACTCCTGAGACTGCCCCCAGGGGGCCACACCCACTATTTATACAAAAATAAGTCTCCCTGGCCCAAGAATGTTCCAGACTAAATTGGGATGAAATCCCTTAATCCCTATGGTAGAAGAAGGATTTTAAAGGTTTACCTCTATTTCCCCTATTCGGCCCCACCCGTCTGCCGCCAAGGGGGCCACACCCACCATTTATACAAAATTGAGTGCCCTTGGCTCAAGGATGCCCCAGACCAAATTAGGATAGTATCCCTTAATTCCTATGGTAGAAGAAGGATTTTAAATGTTTTACCTCAATTTCTCCTATGTGGCTCTCCTCTGCTCCCAGAGGGGCCACACTCATCGTTTATACAAAATTGAGTCCCCTTGACCGAAGGATGCTCCAGACAAAATCTGGTGAAATCCCTTAATCCCTATGGTAGAAGAAGGATTTTAAAGGTTTACCTCTATTTTCCCCTATTGGGCCCCACCCTTCTGCCCCCAGGGGGGCCACACCTGCCCTTTATATAAAATTAAGGGATAAAACCCCTTAATCCCTGCCGTAGAAAAAGAATTTAAAAGGTTTTACCTCAATTTCCCCTATTGGGCCCTGTCCCTCTGCCCCCAGGGGGTCCACATTCATCATTTCAGGAAAAGTAGCGTTTTAAAGGAAAAGTTGATGGACGAACAGATGATGGAAAACGGACAACGGATGCCGGACGATGGACGACGGACGACGGAAGCTGCGCCATGGCATAATATCTAAAAATGATAATTAATTATGTCATGGACGGTTAATTACATATTACATGACAGCAATTACATATCAATGTAAGCCAACCTTGCCATGCCGAGACTGTCAAATGATGAGGGTACTATCACAATGTCCAGTCTCTGAAACGGGTGTGGCCCTAGTGTGTCATACGCTGCCCTAAGGCAACTCCCGATGTACTGACCAATCTCTGTTCTAGCTGCAGGCATGAGGCTCTCCGCACAGAACAGTCGACAAGGTATCGTTTTCTTCACCACAAGTTCAGAATGATTGCTTTATAGAGAAACAGATTCATGAAATAATAACATCAATAAGTAAATAGGTTTTTATGAGTCAGGAGAGTTCCAGAGTGTAAGGGGAATTACTGGGAACAATTACTTTGGAGAGGAATTAAGATCTAAGCCAGCTTTCCTCTTCCTCTGAAATCATGTAATACACGTACATGTTTGATTATTGATTAAGATATACTGCTGAAACTAACCTAATTACATGGACAAAGTACTTTCAAAAGCAATAAATTGCTCAAACAAATATACATATATATGTTTACCTGTCACAGTTTATAAGGGAGGTGACCTGCCAATGTCCGATGGCCAAAGATATGGTGGAGGATGGCATAGCCATTTGTGTGTGAAAGTAAAAGTGGGTCCAGCCTACAAAGATATCGCATCAGAACACCCTTATATATTAATGAGCTATTTATCTTATAAAGAAACACATAGTTCCACAAATTAATTGGTTCCAATTTTTTTGAAGCAAATATGAAATTATAACGCAAAGCAAAATATATACACTCAATAATGTTGAATTTAGTCAAATTCAGTCAACAGTTCATATTCACTATATGACTTAATGCCATTCCTAACAGGCAACAACTAATTAACATTATAGTAAAACACAGAAATCAGAAATCTGAAGTATGTCAGTAACACCTACCACTGGACTTACCATCTTTAGTGGTACTGGGTACTGGTTCCCTGTCTCCACTCATCACCACGGTAACAGACTCTTCCACTGATACAACAGCTTGCCAGGTTGCCATGGATACTGGGACATCCTGGCTAGGGAAGAGTGACCTATTGTTTATCCAGTTTCCATGAGTATACACACATGGCCTGAAAAGCAAATTATTCCAAAATTACAATTATCAGGTTAAGATTGAGCAAATCATTTAAATACTGTAACACTTTTGACCTTTTAACAATGACCTTGAATGTTTGTTCAGGTTATCTGAATGAACATACTAAATAGCCTTTCACATCATCAAACTACAGATATTTTTTCTAGGCATTATGGTTCATCTGAAAGTTCTTTGGAGATTTTTAACATATTTTACCTCTATCACTTTGAAAGTACATCGAGGTTATCTTAATTTAAAGAAACCTGAAAGCGCTTTACACGGTAAGCCTCAAGCCAAATGTCATGTAAGTTATAACTCTCTGTAATTTTTCTACCTTCTTCCTGCAGATCTTCAACGGGGACCTGTGACTTTCAGAAAATGTCACACACAAACAGCATGAATTCGGGAAAATACATTGATTTTTGCATCAAATTTGGGAAAAAACAGCAAAACATTTCTTGGGGGGAACAGGCCTTTATACAACTCTTAATTCATTCTAAAGAATCACTGAAGCTATATCTATAAGTCTTCATTAAGTTTATTAGAAGAACTTGTTTTAAGAATTTAACCTATTTGACCCCTATGATCTAGAACAAACTTGATAGCCCTACTAGTCCAAGCAACTGACTTATAGAAATATGATAACCTGTTGAAGTATGCATTGTGGTTTCTAAGAAGGAATTGATTCAAGAACAATAGCCCCAGAGGGCCTGTATTGCTAACCTGGAAATGTTAGCAAAATTGAAGTTGAAATAGCTAGTGTACATGTACTACATGGTTAGTAATTTTCTATAAAGTGTTTGTCTGACCCCCTGGGGGCAGAGGGCGGGGCCCAATAGGGAAACATAGCCAATTCAACGGAAAAAGAAGGATATTAAAGCTATTCCTATATACCCCTATTTGGCCCTGCCTCTAGGCCCCCAGAGGGATCAGACCAACCGTTTATAAAACAAGAGGTCCAATGGGCCTGCATCGCTCACCTGGTATTAATCTCACAATTGTAATCTTAAAAATGGACTAATATAAAGCTACAGGCAAAATATCAGTGTCTTGACTTAAAGTCATTCAGAAGAACCTGTCAAACGATTAAACACATTTGACCACTGTGACCTTGAAAGTCAAACGTGGACATTAAGTTGAACAAACTTTATAGCCCTTCATCCTAGAATGCAACTTGCCAAATATCACCAGCCTATACCTTTTGCTTATTAAGAAGATGACTTTTAAACTATGAACAAAAAGTGACCTTGAAAGTGTGTCAAGGTCATTCACATGAACAAGCAATCGACAGCCTTGATGCTTCAGTTATTCAGAAGAAGTTGTTTAAATATTGCAATTGGCTCCTGTGACCTTGAATATGGGGGAAGGTCATTTATTTGAACAAACTTGGTAGCCCTTCATCCCAACATCCTTCTGGCCAAATATCATCACCCTGGACCTTTTGGATATTCATAGGAAGTAGTTGAAAGATTTCAACAAATTTGTCCCCTCTGACCTTGAATATGGGCACATGTCATTCATTTCAACAAACTTGGTAGCCCTTCATCCAAACATCCTTCTGACTAGATATTACCCTGGACCTTTTGGTTATACAAAAGAAGTTGTTTGAAGGTTTTTAAGACAATTGATCCCTGTGACCTTGAATATGGGAAAAGGTCATTCATCTGAACAAACTTAGTAGTGCTTCATCCCAACATGTTATTGGCCAAATAGCATTACCCTGGGCCTTCTGGTTATTCAGAAGAAGTTGTTTAAAGATTTTAACATATTTGACCACTGTGACCTTTAAAATGGGCAAGGGTCATTCATTTGAACAAACTTGGTAGCTCTTTATCCCAGAATGCTACTGGCCAAATATCATCACCCTGGACCTTTTGGTTATTCAGGAGAAGTTGTTTAAAGATCAACATATTTGACCCCTGTGACCTTGAATATGGGCGAAGGTCAGTTATTTAAACAAACCTGTAACCCTTTATCCTAGCATGATCATCAACCTAGACCTTTTGGTTATTCAGAAGAAGTTGTTTAAAGGATTTTAAGACAATTGACCTCTGTGACCTTGAATAAGGGTCATTCATTTGAACAAACTTGGTAGCTCGTTATCCCAAAATACTACTGACCAAATATCATCACCCTGGGCCTCATGGTTATTCAGAAGAAGTTGTTTAAAGTAAAAAGTTGACGCCGGGCCAGGTGAGCTAACAAATGGAACTGTTATCAGTATGACCAATATCAATAGATATCTGCTCAACCTTTGAAACCAAAGGGTTCTGTTCTTGGTACCAAAATCTTTTCTGTACCTCTGAATTATGTCATGATTTTTTTTACCAACTGCTAGACCAATCACCTTACTTTGAAGATTACAGAAGAGCTACACCCAATTTTACTGATACACTGCAGTGCGGATGCCACACCATGGGCTAGGTGAGCTAAAAATGGTTCCCTTTTACCCAAGGTAGTCCGAATTATTCTGACATTTATCGACTTTTTTCATATCGGTCTGTCATCGATTAACGTCAGAACTCCGGCCCTCTATAATATGCGGGAAATATGCGACCCGCGCCCGGAGCGCACTTCAAACTGATATTTTAGAAACAAATCATCACTTTCACACACTAGTCGCACATGGATCGAAAGATCTATTCTTTATGCACTAGGTGGTATCAATAACATGTTTCAAAGATCATTACGAAAAGAATTTTCCAACGTTTTCTATACCAACCCATGTTTTTTATGGAAATTAGGCCATGAGAAATATCACAAGACTTGACGAAATCTCGCGTTACCGAAGGTATTTCCCAATGTAGGCCAGCGAGATTTTAGTCACGTGGCATTGGAAGGCGGGGCTATCAAAAAACTAGAGTAAACCAGAGTAAGTTTGAAAAAATATGTTTTTATTGATTGTATTAGTTGTTTGAGGCATGTTATGTATGTTCATCTTGTGCATAAAGAACAGATCTTTCGATCCATGTGCGACATGTGTGTGAAAGTGACGATTTGTTCCTAAAATATCAGTTTGAAGTGCGCTCCAGGCGCGGGTCGCATATTTCCCGCATATTATAGAGGGCCGGAGTTCTGACGTTAATCGACGACGGACCGATATGAAAAAAGACGATAAACGTCAGAATAATTCGGACTATACCCAAGGGTGCTTCATACCAAATTTGAACAAAATTCTGTCATTCCTACAGAAGTAGGAAAATTTTGAAGAACTTGCTATGTTTGCTCTATTAGGCCTAATAACCCCTGCCCCTAGGGGGGTCAGACCAACCGTTTATACAAAATTAAGTCCCCTTCACCCAAGGATGCTTTAGACCAAATATGGAAAATCCCTTGTCATTCCTACAGAAGAAGAAGAATTTTAAAGAATTTACCACTATTGGGCCCCATCCCTCAGGTCCCAAAGAAGGTCATACCCAGCGATGCCAAGGATGCTCATGACTAAATTAGGATAAAGAGTCCCCTTGGAATGGCCCAAGGATGCTCCAGGCTTAATTAGGATAAAATCCCTTAATCCCTATAGTTAAAAAAAAGGATTTTCAAGGTTTTGCCTTATTGGGCCCGTTCTTCTGCCCCCAGGGGGCCAGACCCACCGTTTTATACAAATTGAGAGCCCTTGGCCCAAGGATGCTCCAGACCAAATTTAGTTAAAATTCACTAAGCAGTTCAGGACTAGTAGCGTTTTAAAGGAAAAGTTGATGGACGGATGGACGGAGGAAGAACGCTGCACCATGGCATAAGCTCACTTGCCCTTTGAGCAGGTGAGCTAAAAATCATCATGTTATACTGTTTATGGAGAAATGGATGATGTGCCACAACAAAAGCTCAAAGGCACTTCATGTGAAATAAGCTAAACATTAACTCACCCACCCCTGAAGAAACATTCTAACTCTTCCAATTTAAAGGTTTGAATAGTTCATTATAAAGTTATTGTAATTAACACTTACTTGCCCTCTTGATCTCCTGTCCACTTCAGTGACTGACCTTCAGGTTTAGTCAGAAATGAGATCTTCAACATTCGTGGGAAGTCTTTAATATTTGAACAGCCTGGCTTATGAATTCTAATGCAATGCTTTTCAACAGTGAACTTCAAAAGATTTGTATTTACATTACCATCGTTTCCAAGTCTTTGAATTTTGTTGATTGGGTCATCAGTAATCTGTTCAAGGTCTTCCTCACACTCAGTTAAATCCTGAACATTCAAGATATTGATATCACAACAGTCCAAGATCATCTGAAACTCTGTACCAACAATTTCACCAGAAGACACTTCAGGATAAATATTTCTTGAAGGTGATCCATTTTGTTTCAACAACAATGCTTCATTACATGGTTTTTCATTGAAGTCTGTTGATTTTGATCTGTATGACAGATATCTGTCTACAATTATGTGATCTGGATGTAGTGTCTCGCCCTTCGCATGAACTTTTTTTGTCAACATGCCATCCTCGAATCTATCTGAAGGATCAGACTTTCTCTTTCTGTCGAATACCACTTTTTCTTTTACTGAATTCTGTGACCCAACAGAATTCTGAAAAATTTGGAAGTCAGATAGATCTTCATCAGCACACTCTTTGGACGTCACCACCAGATTTTTATTCAAAAAACAATCATCAGTGTCCGAAACAAAGGGTGCTGGTAAAGGAGAGGTAACTGTGTTTGTACTCAAACTATCTTGTTTCTCATCACAGGAATGTATGTAAGATTGAGCCGGGACTTTTGAGTCTGTCAGTGACCTAGAAGCAGTTTCTAGCTGACCCTGACTGTTGGTTACGTTGCTTGTTTTGGTTTGACAAGTAAGTCTCTCTTTTCTGTCTGCATTGGGGTGATCACAACTTGGACTTTTATCACTTTCAGTTGGTTTACAGCAAATCACAACAGATCCACTAATTTTCCTATCTTCCAAGTGACATTTGAGATTAAGAATGTAATGGTGAACAAGGATATCACTCACATTGGACATCAATGGCAAATCATTTTCATGAACAGACATGGATTCTTCCTCATCCAACATCATGTTTGCTTCGATCACATGCTCTGTCCTCTGAAATTACAAAAGAAATTACAATAATCATGATCAACTCCTTATAGAATATTTATAAATAAGTGCACTACATGTATAGTAAACTTTGATGAAGACTCGTGAATTATCTGCATTATCTTTTTTATTTTTGTAATCAGCATGAATTTCCTACATCTTACATCTTGCTTTTTGCTCAATTAAATCAACTTGTTGTATAAAACAGCTCATTAATACTAATAGCATACTATGTTATTATTTTGTCAAACAGAGGTCAATTTTAGATTTTGGTAGGCAGCTTTTTTAAGTAAAAATAAAAGTAAAAAGATTGATGTATTGTTGCTTATTTTAAAATTTAAAGTTGTTCAAATGTATTTCTGGCATGTAAATAATATCCCATATGGGATGACTTAGATTGACCAAATAAGCTAAAAGATATTCTCCCTAGCCAAGATTTTACCAAGGTGATATATAACCTCTATACATAACTTACTGTTATTCTGTTAATATTCAATCTGAAGTATTCAACTTCCAAATGATTATTAAATGCAAAGTCCTTTTACTTGATATTTTTTCTTTTTATAAATATATGGACAAAGCTGTACATGGTTTATCCCTGTAAAATGGAAAGAATTTTCCTTCAGCTTAGTTAGAAGTTGTACATGCCTGTGTCTAATTTGAGTGTCCAATCTATTTTATTTATAAGCTGTTTATATACCGCCCATTCTCACTTATCAATTTGCGCCATTAACCGAAAATTGTGTCGCATGATCCTTTTACCACCTATAATATAACCTATACGTCAAAACTATAGTTCACTGTTTCAACATTGATATGTTTTCCAAAAACAAACAAAAAATTTAATGAAAATATACGGTAAATTTTTCATAAAGTGTACATGAACATGCCAATATACTCGAATAATCGTTGTCGCGTCACTCTTTCTGGCAAAAAAAAATTAGTACAAAATAAGTACAAATAACATACCATTTCGATTGAAGATACATGTACTGTAAAATTTGGCTGGCAAGGTAACATATACGTTACAATATGATACTCAACTTTAAAGAGACATGGGTGAGGTAGTATCTCTGTTGTGTTGCTGAAGAACGAATGTTTGTTCTGTAGATATGCATTAGTTGATGTAAAAATACTTTTCTAAAACTTAACCCATGAAAAGTGTTCAAAAGTTTGAAGTTCAAAGAATGAAATAAATATTGTTTCTGAATACATTGGTTTTGAATGATTTCCGTTCGAGACCAAATGCCTATTTTCATATACGATCAGAAAAACGTGATGTGTTAGCATTTGTTGCAGAAATGTCTGTTTTTATGACACAGTCCATCTTGGATTCGCAAATATGGTAAAACATTTAAGAAGAAAAACATTTTGTTTCAAAGAAGTACTGGATCACGTATCTGTTTTACTGACAATGGTCTGTTGGGAATGGACATTTTTGTTTTCAAAACTGGTGAATAGTAAACAGAACCCTTTCGGTTTATTATCCTACATATGTTACTCTTTTGAGAAAAGATTATAACAAAATATTTGCAATGCAAAGTTCATTTTCCACTTTTACTGTTTATGTATTGGCGCATGAGAAGTGAGAATGAACGATGCCGCACAATAAACTGTATGTATAGCTCCAAATTTAAAATGGACAATTCTTCTTTTCAGCAATATCTACCATGCTACATTTTTTTTATAAATTATTTTAGTAGTTACCACTGAGAATGCAGCACTACTTACATGCACTAACTTCAAGTAGAAACCATCTTTGAATGAAACCATTGCTTTCTATATTAATGTTGGCAGATTTAGGTATGCAAGTCATTTATGGAAAACCCTTAAGCATATTCCAATTTTCTTCAAAAGACTAAGCTATGCAATTTTTTTCAAATTATTCTTTTTTGAAAATTAAAGGGGCCAGTATTCATGAAACTGATCTCATGCTCAAGCATGGATTTTGTGCTCAAACTAACTTTCTTGTAACTCACTTAAATCATGGCAAACGATCAAGACGTCAAATCTATACATTGAAAACAGTATTTGGCTTAATTAGGCTAGTCTCTCCATTTTTTCCCGAATCAGTGACAACATAAAATTGTACTGATAATTTATAAACAAAACAAAAATAGTCTTGAGCACAAAATCCATAGTTGAGCATGAGAACGGTTTCATGAATACGGCCCCAGATCTACTTCTAACACACGTACATTGGTCCTGTTGACGTGTGTTGTCTGTTTCAGTGTTTGTAACAGAATCGCATGTGCTGTAAAACACCGCTCTGCTGCAGAATAGATTATGTTATGTACAAATATTTGCTGTCTTAAAAACATAAGGATCATACGAAAGACATGGCATCAAGTCTTACATTTGCCAAAGCTGAATCCTAACTACCAAACAGTCAAAGGAAAAGTAAAACGGAAGTTGACTTGACAGCAACCGGAAGTTGAAATAAATCAAGAATTATCCCCCTTGTTCGTGGTTGGCCATTTTTGTTGATTTTATGGAGTTTGTCAGATAAAATATTGTGTTGACCATGGATCGAGACGAAGTCTGTGCTAGTCTTATAACATGGGTAAGTGAAAGTGAAAGGATTTATCGTTTGATTTGCATACATATGCTCATCCATCATAGTTGAGTAAAGTAAATTTGGATATAAGGAAATTGGATATCCTGTGAGCTGTCAAATCACGCCTCAAGTTCTGACTTGGCACTAAATAAATCAAAAGTGAGTAAGTAATAGTGCAGCATTGAAGGAGAAAAGCTAAGGATCGCGTGCTTCATACATAATATGGTAAAAACCTAACTCTTAGTTCATGCCAACCTTCTACTTATCAGTTTACAAAGTTACGCCAATTAGCCCAGATTGATATAATTGGCAGAAAAGACAGAATAAAATGTTTGTATTACCATGATGATGAAGCTTATTCATGCCCGATATATCTATGTAAGAAAGCAGTCAGAAAAAAGGCAGTTCAGACCAGCAGGAGTATTCGAACATGGATCCTACCATGGTAACTTTACAAATATCCGCCACAAAAGAAAATAATGGCACTATATACATTTGCTTGAACCCCTGTACTCCGCCCAGAATCTTCAATTCCAAGTAAGGGGATTTTTGGTGAACAGAACCATAAAATCTGAGTATTACCTGTACATAACAAGTAGACTTACCTGTATGACTACACAGACAATACTGTTGTAGCAGTTGTACTGGACATGGTAAAAACACAGTACGCAGCCATTGTAAAAAAACAGACATTTTGCAGTTGTATACGTTATAACATTTTAATTAAAAATATTACGCTTCGTTTTATCACGGAATTAGATTAGAGCTATCTAAGTCCGTGGTTTTACCAGTTAAGTTTTAGGCATAAATTTCAGGATTTATTTCTTCAGTTTTTCAAATATAAAAAATCTTTCATTATTAATTACATTTTATGATATGTACTTAAAGCTTGATCAATGAATTATCAAATACCTTCCTACAGTTAAGTAATATATAAACATACAATAAACAATAAATACATAATACTTGTTCTTTTAAATTTAACTATATTGATGCAAATATTAACCTATAACATTTGTTACAATTTAATGATGAAAAGTCAACTTATTAAATAAAACTGACTATGTATATAACTTGAAAAGTATTTTAATTAGAGACGGAAATAATAAATACAAAAATTGAAAAAAATTTACTATTGATTAGGAACATTTAGAATAACTTTCGTGGCAATTATTTATTAAACAACCACACTTGTAATAAATATAAATTAATAAATAAAATTGATCAAAGAGCCTGGTAGCATTCTTATAATGTATTTTAAATTGCTTAGAGTTCTACAGGTAAGTCTGTATAAGCTACTTCCCTTTCAATGCATATAGTGCCAGAGCTTGCACATTTTTATCGACGTATTTCAGTACTTTGCACTATTACGATCAAGCTAAAATTTGCTCATAAGTAGGTAATTGAATATGATTTATTTATCAGAAGACAAATAAAAATAAGAGAAACTTAACGAATTTCTGGGTGCGCGAAAACCTACCTGGACACTCCCTGGACACTCATACCTCCATCATAAGCATGATATAATCTATTTATCGACGTATTCAGATATATAATTTGTCTTAAGAGCTCTGTGTACCAAGGGAGATAATCCAAGATGGCGGTCTACCAGAATCGTCGATCTTTTCCTGAAAAAACTTGAAATTTCTTATAACTGTGTATTTTACGCACCCCCCACTTTGGCTATTAAATTTCTGAAAAAAAAGTGCACAAATTACATGGGTTTTTACGGTATCTGAAATTGGAAGGTCTACTAATCGATAACAAATTCTGATATGCCTGCTGTCTAGATCTACCAGGTATGAAATTAAAATGGTACGTAGTGGACTGTGACTATGATAAGTTAAGATATATGGCATTATATAATGTAATCATGTTGGAGAAATTTACTGACATGACAAATTATTGGTCATTCCAAAATGTTCTATATTTAACTGTTAAATAGAAATTACATAAATGTCAAGTCGTTGTGAAACTACATTGTACATCTATGTACCCTTTACTGACAAGATGCATATGTTATATCTCAACACATAAAAGGTTTTGTTACAAGTGCAAAAGCAAATTATATTATTTATTGATAAAACTGGTAAAATCTTAAGGACTCAATTACATTACTGGGGTATATACATGTAAGTATCATAACTTTTTTCTTGATATGATGTTATTTCACTTTTTAATTGATTTGTTAGAAGAAGAAAAAAATCCAAAAAATATTTAATCTAAAGTTCACTGTCTGTGTACAGTATGTAGCTATATATGTATACTAGTTTGAAAATAGGGAAGTTTTAGATCAGGTTATACATAATAACTGTATCACATCAAAAAGATTCAAGTATTGCAGTCAAAAAGTGTGTTTAAGAGCAGCACGATTAATATTGTTTGTGTTATATTTTTGTAGCATTATAAGTTATTTTTGACAAAAAATACAGATATTTTAAAGCAGTTAATAATATATATATATGTTTAATAGTTCAAATTGAATCTTAAACATAGACATGCATAATACTTATTTAGTCTAGTTCTTACAGATCAAACAGGCTTTTTTCAGACAAATCAAATAGAAATTCTTTCTTGTGGTACTATAGAAGGTAAGTTTCCACCTGAAATGTTAGTAATATTTCTGTGACTTATTAAAAACCTTCATTCTGAATGCTTGTGATTAACATTGTAGATGCGGACATTTGGAATCAGTGGTCCTTGTCAATCTACAGACGATCTAAGTGATGGTGTCGCTATGGCACAGGTTCTACATCAAATGTAAGTATTATACGGGACATAGATTTGTAAACAAGTTAAAAGGCAAACATTTACAAATGTATAGATATTTCTGATGTACTTTTTATGAACTGAGGACACACAAAGAAGATCTAAAGTCAGCCATATGCTTATATAATTATTTGACAAATATATGACAAAAAAGCATTTTTCTGAATACATCATTACATGTTATACATTTAATTAGTTTAAATAGAAAGTTGAAATATGTTTTGGTTTTATAATACATGTACTGTATGCATGAAGCTGATCGTTTTAATGTTTTTTCCTGTCGCTTTGCCCCTTTTATTAACTCAAGGTTATCCGGGGGGGATCCATTAATGACAGACTGGAGGTAGTTAAAATGTTGAAATACTAATTGTGATAGTTATGCAAATTTTGACTGTGTGCTCCTTGAAAATGTACACTTGTCCTTGATATTATATGCATAGTGTCATGAATGCTGGAGTTTTAAAAAATGCTTAAAAATTATTACCTCTAACAAATTCTTAAGCAGTCTGATTGACTCGTCTATAAAATAACAATGTTTACCACTCAACATTATCATACAAATTGTGACAGACACAATTAAGTTCTACAACGTACAATGTACTCATGGCTTTTTTTTATCAAGTTTAACTCGCTAAAGCTTGTTTGCATATGAAAATTTGAAAATTAACTACAACTAGAGTTATATAAACATGATAAATAGCCATTGCTCTAAACGAAACATTAATGTTTTGACCTTCTATCACTTGGTGGGTTGTTCTAGTCTACGTCGGTCATGATTGCATTTTTAAGCAGAGTTAAGGCCCTCTGTATTCAAAAATGTTGACATTGACAGAATTTGATATGTCTTTTAACAAGTGGTTAAGAGTCAGAGCATCAACACCAGGGATTCCGTGAATCAGAAGGTTTTATCTGGTCATCAGAACAATTTTACAGTGGCAATGTAGAGCTAAGGTGCAAATTACGATTCACAATATAATGACATCATGATATTGTTATTTAGATCACATGATATAAACAAGTTTTGGAGAGAAATTGTGACTACAATAAACAATGGTAAAAAGCAAGACTGGCTTGTTTTGTTCTTCAATTAAATACAATGTATACCCAAAGGACAATAGATATTTCTTATAAAATTACACATAAATCATGTATCAATAAAGTCAATTAAAGTGTTCTCATACTTTTACTTCCTTGTAGGCATGTTAAGCCATTGTTTTTTAAGTTCCATGTGGGGATGGTCATACAGTGTGGTGTAGGCCGGTCGGCTGGGGATGGTGAAATATAAATACTTGGACAGGAATATTTGGTAGTGCCATTGTAGTTTGTTCAAGTTACAGGTTCTCAATCTGTGTGTACGTACAGGTAGTGGTCATTTCTGTCCAGTGTACCTACAGGTAGTGGTCATTTCTGTCCAGTGTACCTACAGGTAGTGGTCATTTCTGTCCAGTACAAGTGGAATCAACTGTAGTCTGGTTTTAGGTGCTGTATCTTTGAGTAGGGCAGGCATTGTGATAGGTAATCAAGATGGTGTTGTGTCCTGGCTAACTTGATGGTAAGTTTCCTGCAGGCTCGGTAATGTGGGACATTTTTCTCAGACACTCGAATGGCGAGATTGGTATCCGTTGTGTCTTTCATGTTGGTATCTTCCGAGTGGACCGGAGATGAGTTTTCTTAAGGTTGTAATCTGGCAAGGTAAAAGGTACTTTTGAAATAGCTCACTGTGTTTGTTGTCGTAGGGGTGGCCACTCCTCTGCCTCTTCATATTTTTCAACTTTATATGTCTTTTGGTGAGTGGAACTCGGGTTTATGATAAACATTATAATGCAGTGCAGGTGGATCCATACATCAATGTTATTGTGACCTCAACTTATAGATTACATGTGTCGCTGTACCCGACGCTGTACATGTGGATACCTATATTATTTTGATATATGTAAATGCTTAATTGGCTACGTCACATCATGTACAATGGCCATGAGCTGAAAATGTACCATTTGTAAAAGTTACCATTCAATCATGTATATATGTTGGTTATGCTGCACAAAGGCATTTATGCCTATTGCTTAATAAGGATTATCATCATTACTTTTTATGTTACAGTATGGTAAATTATATAATTACAGACCATGTCATATAATGGTATCAATTATAATTCCTTTCAGAGCACCTAGTTTCTTCAATGAAGCATGGATGTCTAAGATAAAGACAGATGATGTCACTAACTGGAGGTTGAAGGTTTGTATATATGTTACTGTTTACAGTACAGCTATAGATAAAGACAGATGATGTCACTAACTGGAGGTTGAAGGTTTGTATATGTTACTGTTTACAGTACAGCTATAGATAAAGACAGATGATGTCACTAACTGGAGGTTGAAGGTTTGTATATGTTACTGTTTACAGTACAGCTATAGATAAAGACAGATGATGTCACTAACTGGAGGTTGAAGGTTTGTATATGTTACTGTTTACAGTACAGCTATAGATAAAGACAGATGATGTCACTAACTGGGGTGGAGGTTGAAGGTTTGTATATGTTACTGTTTACAGTACAGCTATAGATAAAGACAGATGATGTCACTAACTGGAGGTTGAAGGTTTGTATATGTTACTGTTTACAGTACAGCTATAGATAAAGACAGATGATGTCACTAACTGGGGTTTGAAGGTTTGTATATGTTACTGTTTACAGTACAGCTATAGATAAAGACAGATGATGTCACTAACTGGAGGTTGAAGGTTTGTATATGTTACTGTTTACAGTACAGCTATAGATAAAGACAGATGATGTCACTAACTGGGGTGGAGGTTGAAGGTTTGTATATGTTACTGTTTACAGTACAGCTATAGATAAAGACAGATGATGTCACTAACTGGAGGTTGAAGGTTTGTATATGTTACTGTTTACAGTACAGCTATAGATAAAGACAGATGATGTCACTAACTGGGGTGGAGGTTGAAGGTTTGTATATGTTACTGTTTACAGTACAGCTATAGATAAAGACAGATGATGTCACTAACTGGAGGTTGAAGGTTTGTATATGTTACTGTTTACAGTACAGCTATAGATAAAGACAGATGATGTCACTAACTGGGGTGGAGGTTGAAGGTTTGTATATGTTACTGTTTACAGTACAGCTATAGATAAAGACAGATGATGTCACTAACTGGAGGTTGAAGGTTTGTATATGTTACTGTTTACAGTACAGCTATAGATAAAGACAGATGATGTCACTAACTGGGGTGGAGGTTGAAGGTTTGTATATGTTACTGTTTACAGTACAGCTATAGATAAAGACAGATGATGTCACTAACTGGAGGTTGAAGGTTTGTATATGTTACTGTTTACAGTACAGCTATAGATAAAGACAGATGATGTCACTAACTGGGGTGGAGGTTGAAGGTTTGTATATGTTACTGTTTACAGTACAGCTATAGATAAAGACAGATGATGTCACTAACTGGAGGTTGAAGGTTTGTATATGTTACTGTTTACAGTACAGCTATAGATAAAGACAGATGATGTCACTAACTGGGGTGGAGGTTGAAGGTTTGTATATGTTACTGTTTACAGTACAGCTATAGATAAAGACAGATGATGTCACTAACTGGAGGTTGAAGGTTTGTATATGTTACTGTTTACAGTACAGCTATAGATAAAGACAGATGATGTCACTAACTGGGCTGGAGGTTGAAGGTTTGTATATGTTACTGTTTACAGTACAGCTATAGATAAAGACAGATGATGTCACTAACTGGGATGGAGGTTGAAGGTTTGTATATGTTACTGTTTACAGTACAGCTATAGATAAAGACAGATGATGTCACTAACTGGAGGTTGAAGGTTTGTATATGTTACTGTTTACAGTACAGCTATAGATAAAGACAGATGATGTCACTAACTGGAGGTTGAAGGTTTGTACATGTTACTGATCACAGTACAGCTATAGATAAAAACAATTGATGATGAACTATTTGATAGGAGTATTCTTAATTTCAACATTACTAATTTTGTTCAAATAGGAATGTACATGATGTATAGATACTTACTGCCATGATAATAAATTAATGACAATCATCTAAATATACTGATTTTAATCTTTTACAGGTCAGCAACTTGAAGAAAGTGTTGAAAGGCATTTTAGAGTACAACCTAGAGGTAAACCAATATAACTGTGTAATATCAAAATCATCTTTGAAACTGAAGTATTTGATTTGATTTGTAAATACATTTTCACTCTATTATTTTATGTTACTGTGACCCTATCTTTTATAGATACTGTTATATAATATTTTTTCACATATTAATGGCTTTTAGCCCAAATGACTTTAACCCTTTCACTCCTATGTAACTTTATATTCGTCGACAATTAATACCATGCATTGATTTGGACAAGTCCATTATGGTCTACAGTGGTCAAAGGGTTAAGCCCACACTTTCGAGTTTGTACTTTTATTCATCTTGTGGGCTATTGATTAATATATATAAAGGGTGTACATTTTTATAATTGATAATTTAGGAATGTATGGAGATATAAAGACAATATGTACATATGTTTGCTATAATTGCAGGTGATTGGTATACAGATCCATGATTTCCAAATGCCTGATGTCAACTCCATTGGTAAGTTGTTGCTCTACAAGGGTACATTCAACCCTGTACTTCTAGATCTATAGACCACGTCCATTCAACCCTGTACTTCTATAGACCACTGAGACTATACATGTAATTAATGCCTGGTCATCATGACAGTCCAAGCAAATAAGTGGTTTCTTCTAAATTTATATACAGAGAAGAAGTGAAGTGCCCCACTGATCACCCCAGAAAGCCACAACTGGTGTAAGCTCTGTGACCTTTGATTTTATATATTGATAGATACGTATACAAATGTATATGATTTGAAATGAAAAAGTCAGTTAGTTCTGTACAAAAGAAACCCGACCAATTCAGCACTGTTATATATTTACTGGAATTGTAGTAATGTATATAACAGTGTAATTTTGTAAATAATTTATCCTCAAAACTGATGTACTACATATAGTACTTGTAGACTATTTACTTCACTTGTCAAATAATATGCAGTCTTCAGCGTATTCTATGTATTATCTAACATGTTAGGATCATGTGCATTGTTGCATGCCTTTTTAAATGCAAAATACACTCATAATTTCCTTCAGATGTTTTTGCTTCATATGTTACACTATAAATTGAAGATGTTTAGAAAATTTGTTACCACTAAATCATGCATTTCAATTTGCTGCTAAATATAACAGTAGTCCCTCCAGGAAAAGAATTATCTCCTAAACATCTATAAAATTTTGTCATGTTTGGCTATAAATAGTAAACTTATTGCCCAGGTCCCCTGACCCTCGATATCCAGGGGTTACGCTCACCTTCACTCTCTACACCCCTGGAATATGTCATAGCAAAATTGAAGGCACAAAGATAGCTGTTTGATTGGTCTCAGGTAATAAAAACTGACCAATCGCTAGGCTGATACATGTCCTTTGAAGATTACAAAGGACAGACACCAAAGCCTGTCAATTTTAACCGTTACGTGACCGCGAGATGTACATCAAAAGTATCGCACTAGTGTTCTTGTCTCATCAACAAGGTGGCACACACCGAGCCTTCAATTTTGCTATGACATATTCCAGGGGTGTAGAGAGTGAAGGTGATCATAACCCCAGGATATTGAGGATGAAGTCATAAATGTGTTGCAATTTATGTACCTAGTATACACTATAGGTTGGGCTATAAATACATACTGAAAAAGCATGATGGTTCAATGAGTTTAATGTTCTGTACTTGCCAATTCTGTATCAATCATCGATCTATAAAACTGAACATTTTGGCACTTACTGTAATTTAAGCTCATAAAGTACAAAATAACAATGAAGTGCAAGTGGTGGTGCTTAAGTATCTGTCGTCTTTTTTTTCTGTTTAACAACAACTTCTCCTAACCTACAGGGTACATTTCAACCAACGTTTGGTGGTGGTAGCAACTTTAAGCCATGGGGGTCAATAGTTTACAAATAAAAGCCTGAAAATGTAATAGTGTCACCCTCTTGACTGTAAACTGTTATATTGTTACCATCTGACCTGTAGACTGTGAATATTACAATGTGACAATATTACAGTCCACAGGTTAGATGGTGACAATATTAAAGTCTACAGGTCAGATGGTGACAATATTACATTTTCAGGCTAGAGGGTGACAATATAACAGTATACAGTCAAGAGGGTGACAATATTACAGTCTACAGGTCAGATGGTGACAATATAACAGTATACAGTCAAGAGCGTGACAATATTACATTTTCAGGCTAGAGGGTGACACTATTAAAGTCTACAGGCTTATAATATATATAGTTAGAGGGTGACAATATTACAGTCTACAGGCTAGAGGGTGACAATATTACAGTCTACAGACTAGAGGGTGACAATATAACAGTCTACAGAATAGAGGGTGACCTTATTACAGTCTACAGAATAGAGGTTGACACTGACCTTATTACAGTTTACATGCTAGAGGGTGACAATATTAGTCTACAGAATAGAAGGTGACCTTATTACAGTCTACAGACTAGAGGGTGACAATATTACAGTCTACAGAATAGAGGGTGACATTTTTACAGTCTACATAATAGAGGGTGACCTTATTACAGTCTACATAATAGAGGTTGTCACTGACCTTATTGCAGTGTACATGCTAGAGGGTGACAATATTACAGTCTACAGAATAGAGGGTGACCTTATGACAGTGTACAGAATAGAGGGTGACCTTATTACAGTCTACATAATAGAGGGTGACACTGACTTTATTACAGTGTACAGGCTAGAAGGTGACAATATTAGTCTACAAAATAGAGGGTGACCTTATTACAGTGTACAGGCTAGAGGGTAACAATATTACAGCCTACAGAATAGAGGGTGACCTTATTACAGTCTACAGACTAGAGGGTAACAATATTACAGTCTACAGAATAGAGGGTGACCTTATTACAGTCTACAGAATAGAGGGTGACAATATTACAGCCTACAGTTCAGATGGTGACAATATTACAGTCTACAGAACAGAGGGTGACAATATTACAGTCTACAGAATAGAGGGTGACAATATTACAGTCTACAGAACTGAAAGTGACAATATTACAGTCTACAGAATTAAAAATTGACAATATTACAGTCTATGAATTGAAAGTGACTGTATTACAGTTTACAGGTCAGAGGGTGACAGTGTAGTTATAGTTTTCAGACCGGAGATGACAGTATTACAGTTTACAGGTCAGAGGGTGATAGTGTAGTTATGGTTTTCAGACCGGAGATGACTGTATTACAGTTCACAGGTCAGAGGGTGACAGTGTAGTTATAGTTTTCAGACCGGAGATGACAGTATTACAGTTCACATTGTTTTAACTGAGTAAATGGAATAGATCATTAGTCAACGACTAAAAGAAACCTAGTTATTTCTAATGTCAACAGCTCAAATAAACTTCCTAGTTAATTTCATTTGTCAATTATAACAAACTCTTGAATGTTTACGTCAGATCTTAAAATACTGTAAACAGACAAAATGTAATCAAGTGCCAATTTTCTATTTAAAAAGCACATGATTTCTAATCAGAAATAGACACAATATGTTTGTGTTAATAACATTTTGTAAAATGTTGAAAAATTAATTAAAAATCAATATTGAAATCAATTTGAACACTATCAATAACGATACTGCATCAGAATACATGTATATACCCACAATAGGAGATGATGAGAATTAAGCTCTGCTCATAGTGCATTACTGACTAAATATAACCAGGCTATTACGGAACATGGTCATACTCACATCCTGTTCATGACGCTGATGTACTTGAGATGTATATCATTAGAAGGACCACGTCCACTAACAATGCTTATTCTGTTGATGTGTTCACTGTATAAGTTAATATATAACTGGATCTACAGGCTAGATCAGATACATTACCAATTTCTCTGATTACCGTTGTAACGGTATGAAGTCTGAATTCTAATAAATGAAATGAGAAATATGTACAGCAAAAAGTCGTACAGATATTCCCCAGCATGACCTCTCGTAAAATCTTTAATTAATCAGGATAGATACAAATTTAAGGAAGCTGTTGTTGTTAAAAATCCTAGTGCACAGTTAATTTACTAGACAAGTGTAACTTGACTTGACAGCTTTTATAGATATAGGTTAAATGTTAGAAGAGTTCATTAGAAAATAGATTTTAATAATACCGGGGTATTAGATCAGAAGACAGGCTACTATTTCAACCTAAAATAAACTAATACTCTGAATAAGAGGCACGGTAGTCTGGCGGAGTTGAGAAAGATGCAAAGGCTCAATGACCACGGATAATAATTTGTGAACTGCTTTGAGACAACCTAGTGGTTGTAATAAAGCAGTATATACAAGAACCTCAAATAGTTATTAGTATTATTATAACCTTCCTCCAAGGTCAATAAATGCTAAATTCTCATGTTAAAATTGTGTGCATTGGTAATCAATTACCATGTATTTTATTATTGACATTTTCATTGTTACAATCAGGTGAGCACAGTAACATACCAGAACTGGGTCGCCTGCTCCAGCTCATCCTTGGCTGTGCAGTCAACTGTGATGCTAAGCAGGAGTATATACAGCGCATCATGTCTATGGAGGAATCTGTACAGCATGTCGTCATGAACGCCATACAGGAGGTAGGTTATTCTACACACAGGTCACTGATCATACAGGTTGCCCTATACATACAGGAGGTAGGTTATTCTGCACACAGGTCATTGATCATACGAGTTGCCCTATACATACAGGAGGTAGGTTATTCTACACACTGGTCACTGATCATACAAGTCACCCTATACAAACAGGAGGTAGGTTATTCTACACATAGGTCACTGATCATACAGGTTGCCCTATACATACAGGAGGTAGGTTATTCTACACACAGGTCATTGATCATACGAGTTGCCCTATACATACAGGAGGTAGGTTGTTCTACACACAGGTCATTGATCATACAAATTGCTCTATGCATACAGGAGGTAGGTTATTCTACACACAGGTCACTGATCATACAAGTCACCCTATACAAACAGGAGGTAGGTTATTCTACACACAGGTCACTGATCATACAAACTGCTCTTTACATACAGGAGGTAGGTTATTCTACACACAGGTCACTGATCATACAAATTGCTCTATACATATAGGAGGGAGGTTATTCTACACACTGGTCACTGATCATACAAGTCACCCTATACAAACAGGAGGTAGGTAATTCTACACACAGGTCACTGATCATACAAATTGCTCAATACATACAGGAGGTAGGTTATTCTACACACAGGTCACTGATCATACAAATTGCTCTATACATACAGGAGGTAGGTTGTTCTACACACAGGTCACTGATCATACAAATTCCTCTATACATATAGGAGGTAGGTTATTCTACACACATGTCACTGATCATACAAATTGCTCTATACATATAGGAGGTAGGTTATTCTATACACTGGTCACTGATCATACAAGTCACCCTATACAAACAGGAGGAAGGTAATTCTACACACAGGTCACTGATCATACAAATAGCTCTATACATATAGGAGGTAGGTTATTCTATACACTGGTCACTGATCATACAAGTCACCCTATACAAACAGGAGGTAGGTCATTCTACACACAAGTCACTGATCATACAAGTCACCCTATACAAACAGGAGGTAGGGTATTCTACACACAAGTCACTGATCATACAAGTCACCCTATACAAACAGGAGGTAGGTTATTCTACACACAAGTCACTGATCATACAAGTCACCCTATACATACTGCAGGAGCTTGATGTAGGTCAATTGACAAACAGGTAAACTCTTTATGGGTAGCCAATGCAATTGTACTGGTTGGCTTGTGTATTTTACATACAGCTCCTGGGTACTTTGAAATCTTCTGAGTATTGTGTTTTCTGGACCGAATTGACAGTATATTTGACACTTACTTTTAACCACACATGTTCTGTGAAATACTTAATAACTGCATGAAATCATATTGAATATTATAGCATGTTGTCAGTTATACAAAGACAATGTTTTAATTGCTTTTTCCAGCTGATGACGAAGGAAATAACTACAAGCAGTGATGGTGAATCAGAACTGGCAGATCAGGTAAGGAATCCAGAAAACAGGTAGCAACAGTTGACTCCTTAATTTTTTAGATAAAGCTTACGGTCAATATATTTCCCTGCTGACTAATTCTTGGAATTTTTGTTTTTCATGACAGCCATGCTATTCAATTTACAATTGAAGAGCACGTTTTTCACCATTCATCACTCTTTCATCAAAAAAAGCTTGATATAATTCCCTAGATTTGATTCAGTGAAATGCTATAAAATATCAATGTTACTACCACAGTTGAGACGGACAACCGAAGAACTGAGCGGTGCAATGGAGGCAAGAGAGGAACTGACACAGAGATGTCATGAGCTGGACCAACAGGTACAGTCACACGCGCAGACTGCTTTATTAACAAATATCCAGAGAATAAGATATAACTTGTGGAAAGGGAAATAACTCTTTTAGAAGTTTCTTCAATAAAATTACTTCAAACTTGGGTAGCTTTCAGACAGAAGAAAACAGCACAAATGACTTTCATTTGTAATTGCACTGGTATTTATTTTTTTTAAACTCTGTAATATTGATGAAAATGTTTGATCAATGAAATAAATATCTACACTACTGTTTAAGGATTCCCGTACCATCGCCAAAAACTAACTAAGTATTGGAATCTGGTTTTTTCGGCACAACTATAGCTTTGATAAATCATTTCTGAACAAAAAAACATACCTTCAAGGACTTTGGTGAGAAATGATAAAGAGGAAATAAGCAAAACACAATCAACAATTGTGTTCTGAATGTTAAAAAAACCCACTGTGGGGCTAAACCCAGATTCGAACCCTGTACCCCAGACTGCTGAAATATCGCTCTAACAGATTGAGATACCTGGACGACAGAAGTGTGATGGTCTAATTGTTCTACGGGTACATCCAAAGGGAAGTTAAGGGGAGGTAACTGCTTATAGAAAAACCCACAGTGTGGTGGGACAGGGATCATCAATATACTGAATGTGATATCACACCTTTCCTATGCATCCTTCAAAAATGTTAATTTTATCCATTTTTGGCCGGATTGCAACGCAATCAGGGCTTATAGATTGGCGATTCCTGTCCGTCTGTCTGCATTAAGGTTAAGAAGATTAGTTTAGGTCACTTACCAAGTAACTACTTGTCCTACATCAACTTAACTTGCATGGCTTGTTATGTATCTAAGAATGCTTATCACATATGATGCTTTTCATGAAAATGTACTGTAGCAATCTGGCCATATCGCCATTGGTGGTTTCTTGTTGTTTTATTTTTTGTGAATAATATCAATTATAATTTTAAATACCTTTTGCAGGTGGCTGCCTTAATAGAAGAAAAGCAGGGTTTAGTGTTTGAAAATGACAGATTGAATGAAAGGCTGAATTTAGCAGAAAACTTAGATGATCCAGCGTAAGTAGGAAGTGTTGGGGTAATGGAGTCGGACGGTTTGAGTAGATTTCTGTCAGTCAACCAAACATTCAGGGCAGTGTTGTCTGTTCAGAAGATTTTATTCTACCAACAAATTGGATTAAACTTATTTCTATATTTATCGGGGAAAATGAGATTCTGGTGTTGAACATAGTTAATAAGCATACACTAAGGAATATTCCACTGTTAATAAAACTTAAATCTAACTAGGAAAATGGATACATGTCTGACTCAAATTTAATCAACAGGAGTTATATGGAATTTTGTGGTAGTTTTAATATGTAGTTATATAGATTTTTCTGACAGAATGCATTATTTAAATACTTTTCTTTATATTTCGGTTTATATATGTTCATGACAACTGCAATATTATTGTGACTCATTTATGACATGTGTTTTATGTAGTAATTTATAATTTATTTGTATATTTGTATGTATACTAGATATCTGATATAGTTTCACTGAAGTCGACTCATTCTATCTTACTTTTAAGTACTACCAAAAACCCTGGTACTACTGGTACCTCTGGATGTGTATGGTATTTCAAACTTTTATTTAATAACCATTTTTGCATACGTGAATAGGTTATGGACTTCAAGGGTTGCTTTAACTCATTCACCCCTGAAGACACATTTAAACTCTTCCAATTCAAAGGTTGGAAAAGTTCATTAGGAAATTTCAGGGGTGCATGAGAAAATTTCAATTCTTGATTGATATTTTTAGTCGGTTTTGGTGTAAGTTTATTGTACGGCCTAATGGTTACCGGTTTTTTATAGGGATTATTTTAACACAGTTGTAATTTTAATGATTCTTCCTTCACCAGGTGTGTCAATTACATTCTCCAATCAAGGTAACAGAGCAATAGACTTCTAGGCATTTCAGAAATGTGCATGGAGAAATGAACAAGCTGTGTTTCCCTTTATAACAATACTCTCTATTAATACCCAGGTGCTAAGTTCTCACAAAGAGTCTTAAGTTGATTTCAAACAGATTTTATCGTAAAATTTAATCAAAAGCTCATTTAGTCATTGATGAGTTTGAGTGAGGCACATACGTACAGTGTTTAAAAAAAATGTATGAAAGGCATATATTCTTTATTAATATCAAATTTAAATACATTTATATAAAAAATAAAATATTTTGAAAGTGCATATATCTTCTTACCTGCGTAAAAGGATTGGAATCAATTTGAGACTGTTTCCTTGAGATATTGGTACATGTACCAGTGAAAGTTACTATTTTTCGCTATGACTATATATAATAGAAGAATAAGACATGACATCAAATGTATTAATGAACATGAATTGCAATTTGCCAACACATTTTTAATGGTGTGGGAACCATATGACCCTGATTACTTTGTAAGTTTGTGAGCATGCCGATTGACATGATCAGCCCCTGGAAGGTCCTAGGACGTACAGCCTCTGCCATGATCTGACTGTGTTTACCTGTTTATACTTAACAGAAAAAGAAATGGTGATAGGAAGAAGAGTGCTGAAGTTGTCTTTATCTCTCTAATACATTCAGTCTGTAGGTCGCAGCCCATGTTTTGTAAACATTTTGAAACTAAATCATTTTCAAAAGCTTTTGGAGTATGTGATATATAGATTAGCTCCTTTAGATATTACGTATAGTTTTCAATATTGAGTAGTTTTGAGAAAGGTCTCAATAATTTATCTAAAATGGCTTTGACATCTTTTATATTTAAATTAATGTACCATTTTAAATTTGCATGTGCTCAACTGGAGTAACACCTCATAACCTGACCAAAATATAGATAGATATTCTTTAATGATTCCATTGAAGCTTGCATTGTAATAGAGACCTCAGCCAGTAATTGGGGACATTACAGTGGATAGGAACTATTTAAACTTTTCATTATTGATTCTAATTGATAAAAGTATTTATACAGTGAAATGTTACTAAGTTAATTAAATTTGAATTTTAAAGCATATAACTTTACTAGGAAAAAATAGGATATATGTAGACTGTCATTATCATAATAGTAGGTATACAGTATAAGTCTCATCACCATATCACCTGTATTGCTGACATTCCCTTGACCCGTACTTACAAAGCATGTCACATCTCTGGGCAGTTATTCTTATGGGCTGAAGCTACTGTTGTACATGCTTCAGCTTCAGGTCTACTTATAGAATTTAGTGCATTAATAATCTAGTTTGCATTTGGAGGTGAAAGTCAGACATTTTCTATCCAACATATATACCAGGTGAAACTGATATTCTGGTCAGCTATCTATTGAACCACACACCTAAACGAGACAAAACAACATGAGAATTTGTAGTGATAATATAGCGCCATATATAATTTGTAAAATTACTCTGGTTAAGTGAACTTCTAGTTTTGCTAACATTAACTAGTCAGGAGAGACAGTGTCACTTTATTAGCCTTCACCTATTAACTGTAAAAAGATTGTTAATCTTGTCATAAGATCACTTGTATGAGTTGGTCAGCATTGTTAATCTTGTGATCATAAGATCACCTGTATGAGTTCGTCAGCATTGTTAATCTTGTCATAAGATCACTTGTATGAATTCGTCAGCAATGTTAATCTTGTCATGAGATCACTTGTATGAGTTGGTCAGCATTGTTAATCTTGTCATAAGATCACTTGTATGAATTCGTCAGCAATGTTAATCTTGTCATGAGATCACTTGTAGGAGTTGGTCAGCATTGTTAATCTTGTCATAAGAGCACTTGTATGAGTTTGTCAGCATTGTTAATCTTGTCATAAGATCACCTGTATGAGTTCGTCAGCATTGTTAATCTTGTCATAAGATCACTTGTATGAGTTGGTCATCATTGTTAATCTTGTCATAAGATCACTTGTATGATTTGGTCAGCATTGTTAATCTTGTCATAAGATCACTTGTATGAGTTCGTCAGCATTGTTAATCTTGTCATAAGATCACTAATTGTATGAGTTGGTCAGCATTGTTAATCTTGTCATAAGATCACTTGTATGAGTTTGTCAGCATTGTTAATCTTGTCATAAGATCACCTGTATGAGTTCGTCAGCATTGTTAATCTTGTCTGAGATCACCTGTATGAGTTCGTCAGCATTGTTAATCTTGTCATAAGATCACTTGTATGAGTTCATCAGCATGTTGTACCATTGAGTGTGACCCCCACCACAGGATAGAACAGAAATACATTAAATGTATAGCAGTGTGAAAAAACATCTGTGTATATGTATTTCATTTATCTGGTTTTATTATATTTCGTTGTTTTTTTATATATATATTTATACACTTTGTGGCAATTTTTGGTGATATATATCCAGGAACTTTATTTAATTATTGTACATGTTCTATGGTTGAAATAAGCGTGTCTGTATATGTACCTGCTTATTGTAAATAAAGCACAGCACACTTCACGGCCCATATCAGTAAGAAGTAATGTTACAACCAAATCTGGCAAAATAGTATCTAGAATGTTGTGTCACCTGTGAAAATACAAAGTAATGTGATTTTATATCTACACCTGTAAGTTCAGGTTAAGAGTGTCAAAGATGGAGGTACAGTAGTCTAGTGGTAGGACGCCGTGATGGTGACTGAAGGGTTGCGGGTTTGAGTCACGTCACGTCACGGCACTGTGTTGTATCTTTAATTTGAGCAAGATACTTTACTCTGCTTGTTCCAGTCTACTCAGCTGTAAATGAGTATATGATTGGGCAGTGCTAGAATTGTTGAATGCTTAGCTTTGAGCGCCGAAATGGCAGCACCGGCTGTTACGTATACACTCCCCAGGCAGTTGAGAAAGGTATTGGCTGGTTGCAAAGGCCCATATAACTATGGATAATAATCTGTGAACTGCTTTGAGACGACCTATGAACTAGAATGTGATAAAGCGGTATATAAGAACCTCAAATTATTATTATTATCATTAAGATATTCCTCCTGGTTTGGCTTACTGTTTTGTTAGTCATATTAACATTTGGTTATAGCTGCCATTCTCAAAAGTGAAATTAATAGTCCACTTTCCCTAGATTACATTTACTGTAGAGTGATCTAAATTTACCTCTGGTTTATCTCCTCTCTGTACAGTAAAATGCTGTATAATACCCTTATAGTTCTAAAAATTTAATTCTTCTTGGATCTTGTAATAATTTAAATAAAGATATTTTAAACTAGTACGTATAACCATTAAAATTGAAATAGTTCTTGCTCTTTGTAATACAATATATATACTCTTTCTATTCTGTTTCTCATCCTTGTCTTACGCTAGATACATGTGTTCTTAGAATAATATAGAACTATATATATATATTTGCTAATGTTGCAGTTGGATTTGAATTCACAAATTTTGTAAATGCATTTAAATATTTGTAAATTTAAATACCCTAAGAATGCTATGCTGTTTTGGAAAGAGAGATCCCCTGTAGTATAGGTAGAGACTTTCTTGAAGATGGACGCTAACTTATTGTTGACGTTCTTAATCTTTATGTATGAAAGGAAGCAATTCATGAATAACAGAAACAAAAATAAAACCGATAGAATCAGTAAAATTAAAAATACTTCATATTTTGCTCTTTCAAATGCATTCTTGTATTTGCAAAAGAAAATCCTAAAAAAGAAATCAGCCTGTATCAATGTGTTGAAGCCTAAAGTCGGGGTAAAAGTAAGTGTACAAAGCCTAAAGTCGGGGTAAAAGTAAGTGTACAATGCTATGAACAGTCCAGGATAGATAGATTTCATCAGATAATGTTTTAGTATTTATTTATATATAGAGGATTATTTTTAAACTCCATTCCAATGTTTTGCTAGACTGTCTTGGCAATGCTAGTAATATAAAGTAAGAATCATGAAAATAAGTTTTAATGTTTCACTAACACTATCAAAAACTAAGTAACAATCTAAAGTGAGGTAGATTTTGAGTGTAGAATCTGCTGCAGAACTGTATTACAAATATTAAACTCTTATAAGCCTATGTTTCTTAAATAGAAAGTACCAGTGTAGCCGAGTGTACACAGAAATGTGTTTACAAAGAACATACAACATACTTTGCAACTTATTTACCAGCTTATTTTCTCCCAACTCTTGATATATGCAGTAGCTGTCTTATTTACTATTATATAACATGTACAATGTATGGAATATTGCTTACAACATATACAGTACTGTATATCTTTTGAATACTGTGGTTTCATTATATTTATCTATTTTTATTAATATATTCAGATTTTATATCTATTTGTATTAATATAATGCTTTTCATCATGTATTATAGTGATACATTTTAGACAATCAATGCAAGACTCTTCCATTATTTTATTACTTTTGATATATATACATGAAAGTAGATTTTTTGTACCTGTCATCATTAATTATCCAGTATTCAATGTGTACTACGTACCTTACTGGCCTTCCACGATGGATAGGCCTAATTGTTGTCAGAAATAATTGATAAAATTAAATTACATTGAAGAATAAATTTTGAAATGTTTTTAGTAATTGATGACCAGAAAACCCCTAGATGATCTGTTCCCATATGTAGTGATTTATGAAGCTGTTTAATAAACTGAAGTCTGATGTCCTATTTATTGATCTAAAGGAAATCTCTGACATCTGAATCACATGACTTTTACTGCATGTACAGAAACTACTCCGATTATAATATTGATTATGACATGATAAAAACTAACATTTTGCATTTGTACAGAAATAATTGCGACTGTAAAATTGATGATCAAGACCAATTAAACATTTTGCATTTTTGAAAATTACGATATACTCTAGTTTTACAGAAAACATTTAATATGACATGTCTAAGAGCAAGTGTATTAGTAATTTTACTTTCCATGAATCTGTGGTATTTATTATCCCCTCGCAACAAAAGTTCTAGGGGATATAGGATTCCGCCCTTACATATGTTACACTCTTTGCAGTCATAGCTCTATAGCGACATCATTTCTCAACGGAATTTCATGAAACTTCATACAAGTGTTCGGTATGACAATACCTTAAACTCGTTCGCAATTCAGCTAACTGCGTTCAAGGTCACTGTTACTATTTTTAAAAACTCCTACATAAAACACACAATGTGTGAATGGGAGGGGATTTGTATCACTTGTGATGCCTTGTTAAAGTTTATTTTAGGACACTAAGATTTACATTCATTTGATAATATACTGTTTACATTGAAAATGCCTACAAGCGATGAGCTTATATCTAGTATAGATTTGTGGGTTTCTGTGAATACCTACGTGATAGTAGACAGGGTAGATATGACAGCAGATTTTGTGTAGAGCCAAAAATGATCATTAAGTGTTTCCTCTTTGAAGACAAAGCTTTATTTCAGGAGAAATTGGCCACTTTGACCAGTGTGTACCTGTGCCTGTGTTAATTAGTAACCTTTGGAATAAACATGTCTATTTCGTTATGTTTTACAGTACTCCTGCTGGTAAAAGGTTCCAACAACTACAACAACAGGTTGATAAACTACAGGAAGAAAATTTTAAACTCGATTCCAGTAAGTAAATTATTAGTGAGGCAACATTGTTCTATACACATATAAGCAGTTTTGATTGATTTTATTCTTGCTTTTTGTTGAAACTGGAGTGTGAGCATGCACTTATTTAATGAAAGACTGACATGGTCCTAGGGAGAGTATTGTATACTTTGTACATCAATAGATATAGACAGAATTGAAGTTTTACAGACATTTGTGCAACATACGTATGGACTTAATTTACATTTCATATGAGATTCATGCAATGAGTGCAGATGTTTTCATTTTACGATGGCTCTATTGAGCTCAAAATTTGAGACCAGCTATAATTAATTGAAATCAAATTTAATATCCTTAAACCTACTTAATACTTAATAAATATATGTAATGTAATAATAATATACAACATTTGATATAGCACCTTATCTAGCTAACATAAGCCACTCTAAAGCGCTTTACAGTACATAGGTATACAATTAGCATTTACATTAATCAATTCAATTTTGAGGAATTCGCAGGAGCTGCCTTATCGGGCGCTAACTACGAGTCCTATGCCACCTGGCTAATATGTCCCTGTGTGTATGCCTGGGTGTGTGCTGGAGATGTTATGTGTTCTGTATGTATTTATATTTTGATGATGTCTTCAGATATAAAGTTTACTAACTAAGCTCTATCACTATTTGTTTTCTTGATCTAAATACATGCCACTGATCATTTATGAATACACATATTCTAATATTATCATATACCGACAATGTCATGGCATGGTTTGTGCTCTTCATTATTTTCATGTGAGCTATAAATAAAGATGGAATATACTTAAATTAATAACACTTCATTGCAGGTCGAGATGATTTGAAAATAAAGTCTGAACTTCTAGCAAGAGATTTTTCTGAAATCAAACAAAAAGTAAGTGAATTTCAGAAAAAATGTATTTTCTAAAAGAAAGAAAAATGAAAAAATCCAGGTGATTTTGTGTTATGACTCTTGGACAATTGTTCATTTCATATGTTATTACTTGAGTTTATTGGGTATTTAAGTCAGTAGATGTACATTGTTGTGTGTAACTTATTTTTCCCTGATGCATACTTACCGAATCTCCCCATTTTGGAGGGAAACTCCTGATTTTAGCCCCTTAAATTGAGCATTTTCCACCAGTGAATTTGCTTAAACATTCCTATTTTCTAAGATCTGATGATTTCACCTGAAAGAACAGCTCAAAAGATGCTTTTTAAAAAGTAAGATGCTTTTTAAAAAGTAATTTTTCCCTATGTCGTACATACACACATTTTAAGATTCTGAGCATGCTTAATCTCTCCCATGGAAATTTCAAAAAGTATGCAGTAATTGTAAAACTGATAACATTTTTTTTTCGTCAGAACGTGGAGCTCATGGCAATAGCAGATGAGGCACGGTCTCTAAAGGACGAGGTGGATGTCCTACGTCATACGTCAGAACAAGTCGTAAGTATATATATAGTGGTTGACTCCTCTTCAACTGTTCTATGCCTCATTAACTTTAATCCCCTTGAGAGTTCAACAAAAATATTTCATTTAGTATTTTAGTTTCAAATCATTTTGATTCTTGGTCAAAATTTCAGTGAACTTGTTATTAAGGAGAAACCAATGAGATATTTAATGAATAGCTAGACCCAAGGCTAAATGATGTCCAGTGTTCCACTATATCCTGTTGTGTGTCTCTCTGTTAAAATACCAGCCTAATTCGATATCTCTAGCTCTTTTGGTAGAGCTTCAGGCTAGAAATTAGAAGAGCAGTAGACAAGAGGTCTCGGTTTTATAACCCCCAGTGGAGGCATGACGCATCACATGTGAAATTGTAGGGGCAGCTATATCGTAAGGATGAGGTCGTGGTTGTGTCTCCACAGACTGACAAATATCAGGAATTATAAAATGTTGTTGTGATACTTAATGAGTGTACACAGATATATATTTGCTCTGATATTTTGTGGATTGATCAAGTTGCAGTAACATTAAAGGAATTGTATCGGAGGCACGAAAGTCGTAGTGGTAGGACGCCGGGCTCGTAACCGAAGGGTTGCGGGTTCGAGTCACGGCATGGCTCTGTGTTGTATCTTTGAGCAAGATACTTTACTCCGCTTGTTCCAGTCAACTCAGCTGTAAATGAGGACGTGGTTGGGCAGTGCTAGAATTGTAGAATGCTAGCTGTGAGTGCCGAAATAAGGGAGTTGAGAAAGGCCCAGGATGATGGTATTTGGTCAATAACATGCTGGATGAATGACCTTCGCCTATATTCAAGGTCACAGGCATCTTCGCTATCCAAGTGTTCGCTTCGTATACACTCCACTCACCCTTGGCGGATATAGCCGTGTTTTCATAATTCCCTCCACTGCCAACTAGTGGATATACCGAGTTATCGCTCTTCTCCCAATAAACTTTTAACCATTCAGAATGACCATTACATACACACTCCATCATTGTGTTGACAAAAGCATGTGTATGTCGAAGCGGAGTATAAATGACAGAGCAATATAGAAACAATCCAAAGGTAGCACACATATTTCCGCAGGTCATCATTTACATGAGGCACGTAGTCAAGTCATGATCAGTCCATCTGATAAGTTTGTCTCAAACATAAAATTATACTGATGTACTGATACGTATTTCACAGTATTTTCAGAGTATTTATTAAAAGGACTATAGTTTTGTAATATTGAAAATCATAATCTGTCAAAAGACTTTTCTCTATTGCTACAATTGCAAGTACATATGAACTTTATTGTCTGGAACATGGATTAATTTTCATGGAATGAGTTTTGATGCCATTTTCAGCTTCAAGGATTTATTTATGCATGGTTTATGATAGCTTTACAGTCTAATATTACAACAATAATTATATTTATATAGTAATTTCACTTCTACCATTAAATTCAATCTTCTAATTTTTTGGTTCACTGACATTGACTCAGTGCATGACCCATTTTTCCAATAGCACATACTTTCTATTGGTATCACTTAATTAAGTATTTACCGTACCAGAATAATTTATGAACCGCTTTGAAACAACTTACGAACTAGGGTGTGATAAAGCGGTATATAAGATCCTCAAATTATTTTTATTATTATTATTAATAGGGTAAGAAAGTAGTAAATTTCATCAGGCATTATATATATTTTGTGTTTTTCATTGCCAGTCCAAGTATGAATCAAGTATAGAATCTTACAAGAAGAAATTAGGTAAGTTCTAAAAATCTTGTGTGCTTTTCCCATTTTAACTAGCACTTTTTATTTTAAATGGCAATCTTATCTGGTATGTCTTCATAATGATAACTATGTTATATATATACTATGAATCAATATAACTTATTTAAAAATAATAAAAAAAAATTATCAGTGGCTTTGTCTCAATTAATGTACTAATTAGTAAAGTGTACTTGGTGACCTACAGATGAACTCAGTGACCTGCGAGGCCAGGTGAAGCTGCTTGAGGAGAAAAACACCAAGTATATGACAGAACATCTAGAGTTAGAGGAGGTAAGTAGGATATGTAATCCCTCCCGTAATCCTCCCCATTAAGGCTGGGGTCTGAGCTGGACAAGGCAGACTTCAACACATCATGCTTCCCTTTCTAGGAGCCTTTCCCCAAGGGAATGGAGAAGGTACCAGGTACAAAAACAACATATCTTGTAAACACAATGTGCCACACACCTTTTTCTGTGCTGAAATTTTGTCTCAAAATCTAAAATTTCCCAACTTTATGTTATATATCTGGAGTTCTAAAGTGATATGCAATTTCATTACCCTTGAATGTTATACATTGGTAAATTAAATTTCAAACCTTCTAATGACATCTGAAATCGAAATCTGGATTGTTTTCCTTGCATAAGTTTAACTTGAATTTACTGAATATTGCTGATTCACCATCAGGAGTTAAAACAAAAGTAGGTAAGTCAGATGGAGCATCAACACCAGGGATTCCGTAAATGTTCTGTAAGTTTTATTAGTTTACATGTTTCGGATGGCTAGGCCAACCGTCATCAGAACAAAACCATCATAAACATGTAAACTAATAAAACTCACAGAACATTTACGGAATCCCTGGTGTTGATGCTCCATCACTCGCCTACTTGTAGTTACCTCCCTTTGGTGGAGCTCTACTAGAATACTTTGGTATCCAACTCGGATTCCTCCACTGGTACATTAACCGAACACCACCCACAGGACGTTGGATCTCCTTACCCAATAATTGTATTGGTGTACTAATACCTTTATCTATTTCTACAACAGGAGTTAAGGATCTCCTTACCCAATAACTGTATTGGCGTACTAATACCTTTATCTATTTCTACAACAGGAGTTAGGAATCTCCTTACCCAATAATTGTATTGGTGTACTAATACCTTTATTTATTTCTGCAACAGGAGTTAAGGAAGGCATCATCACTGAAACAACAACTTGAAGGCTACAAACGTCAAGTCCATGAGTTACAGAACAAACTCACCGAGGAAACTAAGCGGGCAGATAAGGCAGACTTTGAGGCCAAGCGTGCGCAGGATAAAATGTCTACCCTTCAACGGGAAAAGGAGGTGAGGCTCACAAACTGAATAAAGTCTCAAAGGTGCAGTTATAGGACAAGTGGTGGTATCTGTAACAATGTAGATTTAAACGATTCAATCTTGACTCCAGCAGCTTATACTTGATAACATTCATTGTATGTAATGTTTATTATTATCCCCCGCTTTCACCAAAACGGTGGATATTAATTTGGGTTTGTCCGTCTGTCCCTCTGTCACGCTTCGTTTCCGTGCAATAACTACAACAAATATCAACCCATTTTCTTCAAACTTGTTCACAGGGTTAAATGCCTTAAGGACTCGGTCAAGTTCGATGACCACTTTCAGTGGACCCTATTTGGCAGAGTTATAGCCCCTTGAATAACGAAAAACGTCATTATCTGCTGCGCTTCGTTTCCGTGAAATAACTACAACACATGTTAACTGATTTTTTTCAAACTTGGTCACAGGGTTAAATGCCTTAAGGGCTCGGCCAAATTTGATGACCACTTTCAGCGAGCCCCATTTGACGGAGTTATGGTCCCTTGAATAACGAAACAGGGTTCAACGCATTAAGGGCTCGGCCAAGTTTGACAACCACTTTAATCGGACTCCATTTGGCAGAGTCATTATCTGCAGTTTCCACTTAATAAGTCTAGCAAATGTAAGATAAGGCTTTTTTTCTTCAAGTTTCAAGCTATACATTATGTCTCAACAGCACGATACTCACATGTTTAAACCTAACATCAATAATGTTTACCTACAATATGTCCTGAAAGCGGGGGATATAAATTCCACGAATTTGCTTGTTTACCTTTGCCACTTAATGAAGCAAGAATTAGTTATTTTGATATTATTTTATGAACAATATACATAGCAGAACTTGTAAAGATATAGTATGGCAGTGTAATGAGTGTACTATGTTACTACAGAGGATGGCAGAGGAAAGAGACTCGCTGAGGGAACTCAACGAGGAGATGAAGCTAACACAGCTACAGAACATGGAGGACCCCGGCCAGATCGCTACTTCACCCAGACTCGAGATGTTGTCACTGCCTCCAGAAGTCAAGTCAGTCCAACTGATAAGTTTGTCTCGAATATAAAATTATACAGATGTTCTGACGTGTATTTCAAAGTATTTTCAGAGTATTTGATAAAAGGACTATAGTTTTGTAATATTGAAAATCATAATCTGTCAATGGACTTTTCACTTTCCACTTTCCAGACATATGAACTGTATTGTCTGGAACATGGATTAATTTTCATGGAATGAGTTTTGATGCCATTTTCAGCTTCAAGGATTTATTTATACATGGTTTATGATAGCTTTACAGTCTAATATTACAACAATAATTAAATTGATATAGTAATTTCCCTTCTACCATTAAATTCAATCTTCTATTTTTTTGGTTCACTGACATTGACTCAGTGCATAACCAATTTTTCCAATAGCACATACTTTCAATTGGTATCACTCAATTAAGTATTTACCAGTCCAGAATCAGCTATTGCAAACAAAAAAATTAAAGGGGGAGGGGATTATGTCGAAACATTTTCAAACATTAAGTTCAACACACTCATCACCCCACCCAATCACACACGCTTAATATTGGTAAGAATGTCTACCTTTTCCACGAACCTAACCCCGATTTATATTGATTAGATGTGGCTAGTCTTGACTTAACTTACATGCAATATGTTAAATAAGTGTATAGTATCACTAATTGTAGGGAGAAGCTGCTGAGGCTGGAACATGAGAACAAGATGCTGAAGCTGAGGACGTCCGAGGACAACAGTGAACAGGCACCCATGTTACAGTCGATGCTTGATGATGCTAATGCTCGCAAAAACGAACTCGAGACAGAGTTACGGTCAGTCTGTGTGTGCAGAATGATTTACATGTGTCAAAACTCCTCTCTCCTACTAATGCAGAAAATGATGATGGTGATCAATTTCAAATCGATTAAAATTTCTTCTGTATAATGCCTACACATTATATCTAACATGATTTATTAATATAAATTGATTTATTGGTAGTCATGTAATTCTATGATATGTAGATTCAGGAACACTTGATTTTTGGAGTACAAGTAAAAACTATATGGTCTTGAATTGGTAGAGTTCTGAAATGTCTTGAAATCATATGACCATTTATAAACAAATATTTAAAACTTTATTTACATTTTAATTCACATTAAAAAATTAATAGAACAGTACATTAGATTGATAACAAAGCTCAAATAATTTTATGAGTTTTGAGATGAATATGATATATATTGACAGTAACAATTATATTGTAAATGTCAAGATATTGGAATAGTACTATGTGTATAATTAAAGTGTTGGTTATATGTACTTATATAAATCCTGTTTTACTGCTATAGTAATACAGAAATGACTTGTAATGTACATTAGCATTGTTGGTTTAAAAAGTATCAATTCTCATTATCTAGACAGAGAATGATAAGGTTCCTGTACATATATCAGTGTATTTACATTGTCTTGATACAGGATAGCCAATCAGCGTATAATGGCTTTGGAAGCCCAAGTTGAAGATATACAAGAGAGTCAAACCACCACATCTAATGAGGAAATGCTGGAGATGCGGAAAAAACTTAACGAGCAGATTAAACGGACTCAAGATACTGAAAATGTGGTTAAGAAAAATAAAGAGACAATAGGTGACCTGGAGGCTAGGCTAAGTAGTAGTGTAGATAAGGTTCAGGAGCTACAGGATCAACTCAATAAGAAGGACGACGACATGAAATTAATGGAGGCTAGGTATAAAAAGTATCTGGAGAAAGCCAAGTCGGTACGTACACACTGGGCTGGTGCTTACAACACTACTGTGGTGTCCCTGTGATTGCTGTATAGTTACTGTACTAACCAAGTTCAACCCCGATATGTTATTGTATAACTGTGTGTAGTATTCCTGTATATTTGATTCTTGACAGTTTGCTGTTTGCAGATTAAGAATGAAAGTCTCAAATCTAACACATTGATAGTAGCATGTCAGATATGACTGTATTGGAATGAATGTAATTTGTGTCTATCAAAGAATTGTGTTATTTATTTTTATTTTTCCTTATTTTATTTTATTTTGACAATTTTTTTCGCTGGTGTCTACCAACGAATTGTTTCTCCCCAATGACTAATCATATAATCAGGTGTGTCTGTTGATGCAAAATAGTCAAAATACTAATGACTATCAGTCTATTTGTAATGTTTGGTTTTTAAATGATTATCTCCCTTCGCATGTCGTGGTTTCTCTCTTTTCCTGCAGAAAGCCTTTGACAAAATATCGTAATTTATTTGTAGAACTTTATCATTGTGCTTCCCCTACTTAGTAAAGACACTGTGTATACCTTATAACTAGGACTACAGTTTGCCTAATCTTTTGAACTTTAAAGTCAAGATTTTTGAAAAATCTTTTACCTACAAAGAACGTAATAACCACGTTTGTATGGTATAATAAGTATTTAAATTACTAGAAAACAATAGAGTAACTCTCAATCAATAGTAATCAGCTGCCATTAAAATTAGGATTGTCAAAACACCACAAGTGCAACTAACATTTTTCCAAGAATATCGGAAAACTTAACCATTGATTGCTTATGATCTCTTACATACCTATCAGTATGTCAGTAATGACTCCTGAGACAACCCAAGTCACAATGTCTGTCCTGTTTCTCGTTGCTAGGTGTTCAAGGCTATAGATACCAAACAGAACACAGGAACTGTCTCCGAAGTGACAGTGACGGCCTTAAAAAATCAACTGCAGGAAAAAGAGAGACACATTGAACAGTTAGAGGTAACCTTGTCCATTTGGTTTCTTGTTTTATTGTGCTGTCGTTGACTGTTTGATTGATTTTAATGACTTGAGCATGATGTGTGATTTGATTTCTTCATCAGGTGTGTTTATTTATTGAAACTTAGGTGTTAAATCATTATATTATATATTGTACCAAATAACTAATTCACCCTTGAAGACACATTTGAACTCATCCAATTCAAAGGTTAGTTTAGTTCATTACGAAATTTCAGGGGTGAATGAGTTGAATCAGTGTTGATAAATGGAAAGCTATTGGACTTAGTTTATTACATTTTTAGGAGTGACAAAAATTACAGGATCGTACAAAAGTAGTATTTGCAGTAAAAGTTAACTTTAACCAGGACAAAATATTTTGGTATTTGGTGTCCTAATTATTCAAATATCAAACAGCTGTTATAGTGCCAGTGGTAGCCATAGTAGATGTATATAGTTCATAACCCTAGCAAGTCTCAATGTTCTTTGACTGCCCATTAACAAACTCAGTAATTGCCTGTTTCTTGATTTAAACCAGTTTTAACATCAATTCAGAGAATGATTGCTTTTCATACTTTTCACATGTATATAAAAAAAAAAATTCACTCCTTCAATAAGGTACATCAGTTTGGAAATATGTGATATCAAAGTTTTACTTTATGCACAAACAATGTACATATTAAATGTGTCACAATGTTTCAAGACCGACTGGTCCATTTGTCAAGCTGGGACTGAGTGAGATGGTCCCTTTGTCAAGCTGGGACTAAGTGAGATGGTCCCTTCGTCAAGCTGGGACGGAGTGAGATGGTCCCTTTGTCAAGCCGGGACTGAGTGAGATGGTCCCTTTGTCAACCTGGGACTGTCAATAAGGTACATCAGTTTGGAAATATGTGATATCAAAGTTTTACTTTATGCACAAACAATGTACATAGTAAATGTGTCACAATGTTTCAAGACCGACTGGTCCATTTGTCAAGCTAGGACTGAGTGAGATTGTCCCTTCGTCAAGCTATGACTGAGTGAGAGGGTCCCTTTGTCAAGCTGGGACTGAGAGAAATGGTCCCTTCGTCAAGCTATGACTGAGCGAGATGGTCCCTTTGTCAAGCTGGGATTGAGTGAGATGGTCCCTTTGTCAAGCTAGAACTGAGTTAGATGGTCCCTTCGTCAAGCTGGGACGGAGTGAGATGGTCCCTTTGTCAAGCTAGAACTGAGTTAGATGGTCCCTTCGTCAAGCTGGGAGGTACATCAGTTTGGAAATATGTGATATCAAAGTTTTACTTTATGCACAAACAATGTACATATTAAATGGGTCACAATGTTTCAAGACCGACTGGTCCATTTGTCAAGCTGGGACTTAGTGAGATGGTCCCTTTGTCAAGCTGGGCCTGAGTGAGATGGTCCCTTTGTCAACCTGGGACTGTCAATAAGGTACATCAGTTTGGAAATATGTGATATAAAAGTTTTACTTTATGCACAGACAATGTACATATTAAATGTGTCACAATGTTTCAAGACCGACAGGTCCATTTGTCAAGCTGGGACTGAGTGGGATGGTCCCTTTGTCAAGCTGGGACTAAGTGAGATGGTCCCTTCGTCAAGCTGGGACTGAGTGAGATGGTTCCTTTGTCAAGCTGGGGCTGAGTGAGATGGTCCCTTCGTCAAGCTGGGACGGAGTGAGATGGTCCCTTTGTCAAGCTAGAACTGAGTTAGATGGTCCCTTCGTCAAGCTGGGACTGAGTGAGATTGGTCCCTTTGTCAAGCTGGGACTGAGTTAGATGGTCCCTTTGTCAAGCTGGGACGGAGTGAGATGGTCCCTTTGTCACTCAGTCATCAATGTACATATTAAATGTGTCACAATGTTTCAAGACCGACTGGTCCATTTGTCAAGCTGGGACTGAGTGAGATGGGCCCTTCGTCAATCTGGGACTGAGTGAGATGGTCCCTTTTTCAAGCTGGGACTGAGGGAGATGGTCCCTTTGTCAAGCTGGGACTGTGTGAGATGGTCCCTTTGTCAAGCTGTGACTGAGTGAGATGGTCCCTTTGTCAACCTGGGACTGTCAATAAGGTACATCAGTTTGGAAATATGTGATATCAAAGTTTTACTTTATGCACAAACAATGTACATATTAAATGTGTCACAATGTTTCAAGACCGACAGGTCCATTTGTCAAGCTGGGACTGAGTGGGATGGTCCCTTTGTCAAGCTGGGACTGCGTGAGCTGGTCCCTTTGTCAAGCTGGGACTGTGTGAGATGGTCCCTTTGTCAAGCTGGTACTGAGTGAGATGGTCCCTTTGTCAGGCTGGGACTGAGTGAGATGGTCTCTTCGTCAAGCTATGACTGAGTGAGATGGGCCCTTTGTCAAGCTGGGACTGAGTGAGATTGGTCCCTTTGTCAAGCTGGGACTGAGTTAGATGGTCCCTTTGTCAAGCTGGGACTAAGTGAGATGGTCCCTTCGTCAAGCTCGGACTGAGTGAGATGGTCCCTTTGTTAAGCTGGGACTGAGTGAGATGGTCCCTTTTTCAAGCTGGGACTGAGTGAGATGGTTCCTTTGTCAAGCTGGGGCTGAGTGAGATGGTCCCTTCGTCAAGCTATGAGTGAGTGAGATGGTCCCTTTGTCAAGCCGGGACTGAGTGAGATGGTCCCTTTGTAAAGCTGGGACTGAGTGGGATGGTCCCTTTGTCAACCTGGGACTGTCAATAAGGTACATCAGTTTGGAAATATGTGATATCAAAGTTTTACTTTATGCACAAACAATGTACATAGTAAATGTGTCACAATGTTTCAAGACCGACTGCTCCATTTGTCAAGCTGGGACTGAGTGGGATGGTCCCTTTGTCAACCTGGGACTGTCAATAAGGTACATCAGTTTGGAAATATGTGATATAAAAGTTTTACTTTATGCACAGACAATGTACATATTAAATGTGTCACAATGTTTCAAGCCCGACTGGACCATTTGTCAAGCTGGGACTGAGTGAGATGGTTCCTTTGTCAAGCTGGGACTGAGTGAGATGGTCCCTTCGTCAAGCTGGGACTGAGTGAGATGGTCCCTTTGTCACTCAGTCATAGCTTGACAATGGAACCAGTCGATCTTGAGTAAAACTTTGATATCACAATTTACTCCTTTTGACTTTAAATACTGGTAATAAGTTTCATAAAAAATATCTAGAAATGTTGTTTGTCTGTCTTGTGTGTTGTTAATGTCTTAAGGTAAAAATATTTACACTTGTACATTTTTAATGTTTATGGATGACCGAGAGGACAAGTTTAGTCACTGCTGGGTCATCCTCGATACTCCAGGGGTTACGCTCACATTTACTCTCTGCACCCCTGGAATATGTCATAACAAAATTGATGGCACATGGCTAGCTTTTCGATAGGTATCAGGTAAAAAAACCTAACCAATTGCTAGGCTGATCACTGTCCTTTGAAGATTACAGAGAAGCAACACCTAACTTCAAAGCCAGTAAATTTTACTGTTATGCGACCGCAAAATTCTTTTAATGCAAATCAAAAGATCAAACTAGTCATCTTGTCAAATCCACAAGGTGTGGAACACAGAGCCATCAATTTTATGATGTTCTAGGGTTGCAGAGAGCGAAAGTGATCCTAACTCCTGGAGTATCGAGGATGGGGGTGCACGTGGGTTACCTTGTGCAAAGAAGCATATAATTTCACCAAATTGATTCAATGTCATGGTATCAACCACTTTTCTATTGTACATTGTACTACTACATTTTGCTTAAAGTTATGTTTCTTACTTATTCCAGAAAGAAAATGACAAGGCTAAAAATATACGAGAACAAGAGGAGAAATACATAGTATCTGCCTGGTACAATCTGGTAAGTTGTCTTCAGTCTTTATCAAGTTATCCAGTATAACCAGGAAACAAAGACGATACAGACCATATTTATCTGCAAATAAGCCCCCACCTTGAAAAAGATTGACCAAAATTAGGAAGAGGGCTTAATTGCAGGCACCCACCCTCTTCCCAGGACATTTGCCAAAGTGAGGAGGGGGCTTATTTGCAGTCAAATATGGTAGCCATGGAATGACTTGTCTGTGAACTGTCTATATCAATAGATAATGAACTGAGCACAGTGTTTATAACAATCCTTAAATGACCGTAGCTGTTAATAGGATGTTTAACAAAATAAACCAAACCAAATTGACAATGTCCAATATTTATGGGAGTGTTCAATGATTTGTGTTTCAGGGAATGCAGTTGAATCGCCAGGCTACAGAAGAGAGGTTGGCCAACGCTTCAACTGGACAATCATTTTTAGCTAGACAACGACAAGTGCATTCACGTAGAACTCAGTCTATACCCAACTCCCATCCAAATTCAACTCGGTGAAACAAGCCTATGTTTTTTTTAATCTGCCTAATTAAAAACCCTACTGCAATGACTATATATGTTAATACCCAGTCAGTGATGATGTATCGTCTCAGATTGTCTGAAGCAGTCTCTGGTGACGTATCGTTGGATTGTCTGAAGCAGTCGTGGTGACGTATCGTCAGATTGTCTGAAGCAGTCTGTGGTGACGTATCGTCAGATTGTCTGTAGCCGTCAGTGGTGACGTATCGTCGGATTGTCTGAAGCAGTCTGTGGTGAAGTATCGTCAGATTGTCTGTAGCAGTCTATGGTGACGTATTGTCGGATTGTCTGTAGCAGTCTGTGGTGACGTACCTTGGATTGTCTGTAGCAGTCTGTGGTGACATATCGTCGGATTGTCTGTAGCAGTCTGTGGTGACATATCGTCGGATTGTCTGTAGCAGTCTGTGGTGACGTATCGTCAGATTGTCTGAAGCAGTCTGTGGTGACGTATCGTCGGATTGTTTGAAGCAGTCTGTGGTGAGGTATCGTCGGATTGTCTGTAGCAGTCTGTGGTGACGTATCGTCGGATTGTCTGAAGCAGTCTGTGGAGACTTTTGATGACACCGCACGTCACCCCACAAAGCAGTGTACCATCTGTATTAGACACATAACATGGGAAATCTTCTCATTCAAGGAAAGGCATGTATTGGCAATTATCATGGGAAAGTCTTGTTAAAGAAATGTGACTCCAACTCATAAACAATTTTTGTGAACATCCTTTTGTTGATAGGTCCTACCTACATATTGATAGTCAACCGCCGTCACAGTAAAGGCTAGACTCCTTCCATTACCCATTGGTGGATAAGCCATACGAGGACAATCAACACACTCCGTTCATGCTTGAAGAAAAATCAAATGGCAAAAACAGCTGATTAAATCTCAATTTTATATTGAAAATAAAAAGATTCCTGTCTAATACTAAGTTGTTAACATTAGATGTGAAGTAACTGAATTAGCTTCTCAGTTGACACCTATTTGGGTTCCCTTACAGCAGGATTACTCTGGCCTAAAATGTGATTTATAATTATCAAACAAACAAAGGTTGTACATGCATATGGGTATCTATATATCTGAGTTGTAAAATAAAATCAATCTTGACTTTGAACAAAATCACTGGTGCTGTACGGCAATGTTAGTCGTGATTATTGAGAAATCCACATGTTTAGTAATTAACCTATTTTATCTGTCTAGATAAATTTTCAAACAGGAATGCTGAAGAAAAATGTACTACATTCTGTCAGTTTCATTTAAAAGTGTTACCCTATTGAAGTTTCTATGTTTAAGTTTAATTAAAATTCTAATAATTTAACAGGTAAAGCTTCAGTTGATGTAGGATAATGCTGAATATATAAACTAGACAATGTGTTATTTGCATATGACAATACAACACTGTTCTTCAGTCTAAACGTGATATGGGTCAGATACTCATCTAAAAAAATATTTCATACCAATATTTGGTGTTTTTTACTCTAATACCTGTTTTTCTATGTGACAGGTAAGATCAAAATGAAATCATTTCTTCCTCTCATAGAATCTATTTTCACTTGTGAACTCATTCAACAGACAATTTGTAGGTAATGACTAAATCACCTCTTTATTGAATCTGACATTTTTTGTGAATGTATTTTAAGATGTGTCATAAGAAATATTAAGTAAACAATATAAACTGGAATAATAGTTTGAGCTTTTGGTTCAAAAACTAGCTTGTCAACCTCAACTCTGGTTAACAGCTGTATATCATATGCAATCAACACCGACATAATTCATTAACATCTGGATTGATGATATTTTATGAAATCATTATTATCAGACACTGCCATTTTCATCAGCAACAGTAACACAAGGAATTAAGTTTAATATCATATTATGTAAATATTTAAATGATGAAGGGCGAATACACTTGCTAGTGTTTGTGGCATGCAGAAAAAATATCGAGGACAAAATCAGCCTGATATGAACTATGGGAATGAAACAGCAAACTATCATAATCTATGCAGTCTGTATATTAACAGTTATAAACAGTTATAAAAAGGCCGAAGTTTTTGCTGTTTGTAGCTTGATGGTATCTCGTATCAAAATTACAAATGAGTCATTTCTCAATTTGTACCTAGCAGCTGTGACGTTACTGTATTTATTTTATTAAAAATGTCTGCCAGATGTTGTTTGTAGCTGTATATAGTCATGCATGACTCATTATTTAGACGTAGGTCCAATTGTTCAAAGTGTGCTTAGCTTATATTAATGAGTCATTAAAAATCAATTAAAAGTGTGAATTTTGAGAAATGACTGAAAAACAAACATTTTGTTGTTTCCTATCTATCACTGCGATGATGTTAAATCTTACATGCAATTTAAGTTTTGAATTTCAATATTTTTGAACTTTGCCAAGGGGAAAACCTTTTGGCATTTTGTTGTGGTCAAGCTAACAAAACTTTAAACAAACTGGGCCTAGTAATACAGTAGTAGAAGATTTCACTTTGATTTCATTTTAATGGGTCACATTTATTAATACTAATTGTTCGTTATAGTCATGATATCGTGGCCAGTTTATGAATCTCACCAAACTTTCCATAAGGAAGTTACCTGTTGTACAATTTACAAAATAGATTATAATTAAATAAGTTGTTGGGCTGCTCAACTTCAGTTAAGTAATCAACTTGATGTAACGCTGTTCAAATTCAATTTGGTAAATTACTCCAGCATGACTAAAATGTTCACTTTCTACTTTTTATATTCACTTTTTTTATATATGAAACCTTGTATTATCTTTTCTTCCGATTTTCAAACATATTGAAGGAATGTAAAAAATGTGATTTTTTTCCGAAAAAATGTTTTTAGATATTTTAGCGGGGTTTTCTTCTCTGTGTCTGTAAATAGGTATTTAGAAGTATAGAAATGGATGAGACCTGTGATATGTTGCCAGTCAGTGAGATATTACAGACCTGTGTGGTGCTAGACTGGTCAGTTGATAATGTTCCAGGGCTATCTGTGATGATAGAGGTCATTGGGGGTCGCAATGACGTCACTTTCATGTTGATGTTAATTCTGAGACATAATAATGTACAATGTAATCCCAGTAACTTCTCTTTGCCATTTCTGTTCATATAGTATTACACTATTTGAGTGGATAGGCAGGGGGAGGGGGTGTTTGTTATGTTTTCAGTAGCAGGATCGCTCACTTCTAGCTATTCAGAACTGTTTATATTACGTGAAATATTTTTTCCCATGTAAGTTAGCATGCATGTATTATCAATCCCATGTATTATTTGCATATTTTGTTATTTGGAATGTAAAAATCTAATGCAAGTTTGGAGTTGTTAGGAAGTTATAATTGGAAAATAAAATCCCACATAGTTTGTAATATCAGAAAGTTTGACTGCAATTTCAGTAATAATGGCATCAGTTTTATTTAATGTGTTCTTTGAAAATGATTTGTTATATATGGTGATGGTCAAGTTTTCTTCAAAGAAACAAATCTGAATACTGTGATGGCTAGTTATTTATGATAATGAGGATGATAATATAATGATGACTATAACTTAATTAGGAAATGTTCTTAAAAGTGAACTGTTGTACTCTTTGGGCGTGTATGAAGTTGTCGCCACCAAGGATATGTGCAATTTTACTGTGTGTTACCAGTGTTGTTGATGTTTGGCATTACAATCAATAGTTATTTACAGTTTTGTTGTAGACCTAACACAGCAGCAGGAGAAAATACATATTAAAAGTAAGGTCATACATTACAGTGACTCGGTATTAACAATTTTATGTATATATGTAGCAGGTATAATAGAGTATAGTTATATAATAGTTTAGCTACGATAGGAAAAATAGAAAGATGAGGGTCAAAGAGAGATATTAAGGTAAATATAAGACAAACAGAGCTGTGTACACCTGATGTCAGGTATCTGATATATCCTACGTTTATAATGGTTTCCGTTACAGTTAGTGCTTTCATTGACTTAAGGCTTGATTTATCATAAACATAAAACATAATCATGACAGTAAGGAAATTCTACATAAGAATTAGATGCTTAAGAAATTAGTGAAGGTCTCTTAATGAAATTAAGGGATCATCATTTAATTAAGGTATCTTCATTAAATTTAGGTATCAATTAATGAAGATTTCCTATATAATGAAGGTTTCTTACATTAATGACATACAGGTATCATCAATTAATGAAGGTTTCTTATATTAATGGCATACATGTATCATCAATTAATGAAGGTTTCTTATATTAATGACATACAGGTATCATCGATTAATGAAGGTTTCTTACGTTAATGACATACATGTATCATCAATTAATGAAGGTTTCTTATATTAATGACATACAGGTATCATCAATTAATGAAGGTTTCTTACTTTAATGACATACATGTATCATCAATTAATGAAGGTTTCTTACGTTAATGACATACATGTATCATCAATTAATGAAGGTTTCTTACGTTAATGACATACAGGTTTCATTGATTCCCCCACAAGTATTCTGCTCCATTTTTTATCACTTGTGTAATATTTCAATGATCACCTCCTATATCACTGTACCAATCAAAATGTACATTGTTGGATACCCTGTTTATCACCCACTTCACCATGATATATTGATCACACAGTGCTAACTCTATAAGATCATCACTTCCCCTTCCTACACTGTATCATGTTTACATTTAGTAGCTTTTGTAATTATATGTTTTATATGTCGGCTGTATTCTTTTTCCCGTTTTCTGTACCTAATAAAATTTGAGAGAGTTACATAAGAAATTCAGTTCCAAAAAAAAGAGGTTCATAGCCTACAGCGCAACAATGTGATAATTATCGTGATTTATAAATTAAGTTAAATACCTGCCTCTGGTTCAGTAGTAATTACCCCACTCTATCATCCATTTTGACAATGCCAAACAAGTGATCTTACTTACCGATTACATGAAAATAGAAAAAGGATACAAAACTAGTTTATGGTGCTGTTGGAAGGAAAAATTTGGACATTTATTTAAAATATTACTGCCGAACTTCATTTAATTCTGAAGATAATCTGGCCTACTGTACTTAAACATATAGATTACATAGTGCCCTGCGTATCCCATGTCACATTGAAAGACCACCCAATCATATACCCTGTAACCAATACTTTACATCGCGTCAGTTAATTAAAGATTTAAAGAAATGACGCCCAAGAAACTAAATTTTGCTCATGATAAGCTATCATTATTGCTGTAGTTTGGAGAACCAATTGGTCAAGACCTCAATAAGATAGTAATATGAAAGTATACTTGCAATGTATTAAAGATGTAATACGGATGGCTTTGCATGATTGGACGTTACGGATGATCGTCCCTAACTAACTATTACAGAGTATGATACTGGGGACGGTTGTTTCACAGCAGTAAATAACCGTCTGGTGGAGGGTTATAATTAACGGGTTTATTTTGTAACTAACTTAATTACACCAACAGAAACATACGCAAATAGTACTATTCACGTATTGATTTTAATCTTGTATTTCAGGGTATCTGATATCATGTTTTTTAAAGACCAAGCGATTTGTAATAAAAGATACAGCATTATATCTATGTATGAGTTCAGTTGTTATCATTTACTGTAGTAGTCATGAAACATCTTTACCAAAGTTTCAAAGTATCTGTTTCAAAATGTATGGGCTCCTGTGATGGTATCTGAAATATGCAAAGTACTCACCGTTGATACATGATTTATAATGGCTGTTGAAAGGATGAACAATTCTAGATTAAGACCAAATGTTCCAGAAGAGTAAGCGTCTTCTGAGATCAATGCGATAATGATGGTGCCCATAACACTTGTCCAGTCTCCATCAACCTCGAAACTGACAAAGTTTGTCTGTTAGTCTATTCGAGCAAGTCCATGTTTATCGAATCAGCTGCGACTCAAAAACATCATTAGTAGGGAAGCAGAGATGTTAGGTATTGTTATCAAAGACAACGTATCAATATATCTGAAAATCAAATTTTTGGTCTTTGATAAATTCACCCTCGTAAAACAAAAATAAGTCGGCCTAAAGAAGAGAAGTGCTTAGTTTGTTATTTGTCTGCTAACAGTCTGCGTTAAAATATCGCCAACAAACTCCAACTAGGAATTCAGTTCACAATTTCATCCTCATTGTATTTGGTCTTGCTCACAAAATATGCTCGAAAAAAAATCACAGCCATTTCTAACGCTATTCCCCCCTTGGAAATAAAGAGAAGGAAGGCGCTCGTGTACATAGTGGAAACGTCAAATGATCTAATTGGGAAACGATGGTTTTGAGGAAATAATGCTCAAGATGAATCATCGTGTCGTATTAAGGCGCATACTAGCCAAGGTCGTCGGTCATTGAATGTATTTGGTTACATGAAGGGAATTATGATTTTCGAAAGCCAGGGATGATGATATTTAGCCAATAACATGCAGGGATGAATGGCTACCAAGTTTGTTCAAATGAATAACCTTGACTTATATTCACGGTCACAGAGGTCAATTAACCTGAAAAACAAACTTTCGAACAACTTCTTAATAAATAAAACGCTCAGAGTGATGAAATTTGACCTGTTACATGCTTGCATAAAGCGCTACCAAGTTTGTTCAAATTAATGACATTGACCTATATTCTAGGTCACAGGGGTCAAATATGTTTAATTTCTACAAACGACTTCTGAATAAGAGCTTGATTAAGAGCTACCAAACTTGTTTAAATGAATGACCTTGACCTATATTGAATGGTCACAGGGGTCAAATATGTGTAAAACCTTGAAACAACTTCTTCTAATTTACCAAATTGTCAAGTATGTAGATATTAGGCCAGAAACATGCTGGGATGAAGGGATACTAAGTTCAAGGTCACAGGGGCCAAATATGTTTAAAACCTTTAAACATTCCATATTATAGATAATGTAAATTTATTTTGTGGACCAGTATCAAAGACGACCGTCGTCGTCCGTTATTATTTCAAATTTTGAAATAAAACGAGAATATTACAGAAAGGATTTCAATAAAACTTCATGGATATGTTCAGCACATGGTCGTGACTAAGCATCATTATGTTTGTAATCGGTCAGGTATACAAGATAGTCGCCACGGCTGCCATCTCGATCAAGATGGTCGCCGCGACCACTTTTTTGAAAATTTGTTTTGAACTTAAAATAAGAGTTTTGCTGAAGTGATTTCAATGAAACTTCGTTAGAATGCTTACTACATGATCACGACAAAAAAATGAAAATCTGTTTTGAACTTAAGCCCTGGTCCTGTTTAAGGGTTTAAATGTTAAACTTCATAGGGATGTTAGGTAATTAGCCTTGACTAATTATAGTGTCAGATATCTGAAATAGTCGCCACAGCCGTCAGCTTGAACATTTTATTTGATTATTACTTTTAAGAATTGAACGTTTTTGGGTTGGTTGAAAACATGTAGGCACCATGTATCCCATATAACACAGAAACATTACATTTTGTTTCTTTCAAAATAACGTCTCTATCTTTTTCATCCCAAACTGATGTCCTCGCTGCTTATACCCTACTGCTTTTATTGTAATTTATAATATTTAAAACTTATTATCAAAATTAGCATTTTCACAAAAGCCCACGAAATTTATCTACGCATCTATTTCTACAATATCCCTGTATACATATACTGGTCTCGCTCCACTAAGCGACTGGCATATAATTACAACACAACGCACATATCTATTTTGCCGCTAGCTCTCCGAAAGGACGTAGGATGTATATGTATACATGCATATACTGTTCCCCTCACGTGACCGAAAGGCCCCTGTGCCTCTTTATTTTTTAATGTTACTCATTGTGAGTGTTGCCCTTGCTACCACAGTATATCAAATCTAGGTATTGTGCAATATCATACCCAACCTCGTTATTGTGGAAGCATAATTTCCGCCTTAGTGGAAGCAAACGTACGTGCGTGCCAAGTGTCCACGGAGGTCTTGGTACGTCTTGCTTTACTGTTACGTATCGGACATGTTTCCTAGGCCCGACCTGTGGATGATGTCGGACGGCTCGGCTGATCGAGATGGTCTGTGAGGCCGTGCTACATTTGTCATCCCATCTATTGTAATAAGGATTGGTAATGTTGAATACTGGATAGAATTGCGCCAAAATAAAAGCCATTAAAGCAGATACTAAAACCGATATATCGCTGCCAACCCTTTCGTTTCGGACAACCAAGCAGACGGTAGTTAATCTAATGCTGTCTTAACCAACAATCACATTGACGTCGCCAATAACAGTAGATCCAGTGCTAAGATGTCGGAAATCGGTTACTGGAACTGGATCCATTTTCACATCTTGGAAAACGTATCGATGATATATATGGCTGGTAATTATACCAAATATAAACACTGTTTTTTCTAACAGGGATAGTGCTAGAACGTTAGATAGATATCATGTTAGACACATCAGCAAGTGTCGAGTAGTATGTGCAGGTACCATGTTGTACCTTACACGTGTACCGACAACGACTGCAGGCGAATTAAATACTTCATATTGATTCTACATGTGTGAGATCGCTTGTTTGATTTTTGTGCTTTTTTATATTTGCTCATTTAAACTACAGTATTTCGGAACGCCAAGTGCTTGCGGTCCATGTACTTAAAAACATCTATTTGGTGGTAGTACAATCTGTAACTTCAAAATTCCAAATGAGGCGTGTGCATACAGGCTGTACCTATAATCACATAGGCCTCAGTTAATCCCTATGCAATCGTTATAAGGGGATCCCGATCTCGAATGATTACCTCATCGCTATATTACATTTCCACTGAATTTTCTCTCTAAACTGTACAAGAAGAAATTACGTTCGCATAGGGTTAGCAACACAATTTGATCAGCGTCATTTTGAAGCTTCTCCTCCCGTCTCGAATAGCATGAGAAACCCGTTAGAAGCAAACATTTTGGTGACGTTATATTAGGCTGTTCCAGGAATCTCGTATCGAAAACATAAGTGATTCCCTGTGTTATATGCCGGAATGACATTGAAAAAAAACACCTTTTCAATCCTGATACATTTTATGTAAAGATGTAGCTAACATAATGTAAAAAAGAGGGATTGAAATTGATAACTTTAGAAAACAAAACAAAACCCTCAATACATCATTTTCATCGACAAATCTTAAAACTCAGTACAATGAAACCCAACATAGCTATTTGTAGTCTAACCGCTACATAGTAATGGGGGTTAAGTTCATAACTCAACATACAATACAAAGATTCTGGGGTTTTTTTCAGTACAGCCACGTTTTTTCTTTCAAATATCGTTCAAGAAGACGGATATTCACGACCCATTTCTCCAGTATCGTCAAGTTCCTGATAGAGTCAACCTCTAATTATGTGAAGAATCATCAATGGTATCATCAATATTAAGCGTGATTACTTCAAACGTTAGATCCCCTGCAGACCAGAATACCACACATTGGTACCACTGTACGTGTTCTATTGATCAACTACTGGACATAATTATGGTATATTGTCTCGCGCTGAAAGCCTTGCTAATATAGTTTGTATTGTAAGTCTTCTCTTTTTTACAACAGGATGTCGTAAATACAAACAGTGCCCTGCAGAGTCGAACACAGTATCCACAAATGTACAAGGTACGCGCGAAGTTCAACTAAACAATAAACAAGCCAACACCGACGATACGAAGTAACAGTGATCTAGTTTTCGACCGCAGAAGGTTGACACGCGAGGGTGATGTTTCTTTTTCAAGTCAATCGGAAAAGGAATGGGGTCTGTAGAGCAATTTCTATCAGACTCTATTTAACAGTGACAATACTGTTGTGTTGCCAAGTACACGTAAATGTCAGGAACATGACTTCACTGTCAATGACGTTGTTTCATAACTTATCATACCGTTTATTGGATTTGAAATTGTAAACCTCAGAAATGCCAAATGTGAATGTCCTTATGATAGTTTACTTCAGTCACGATAACAGTTGTCATAGTTCGCTCTGGTCTATATTGCCTCGCCCCATAACGACTGCATCCCCATCATATTGGGGTACAGCGTCAATCGCTGCACAAGCAATGGCGTGACGAGGCACGACTTGTGACGGTGAAATGACATACGACATAGGTTGGTCGGGTGGCAAAATGGATAGCACACACGCCTTTCACCATGCACCGGGGTCTGATTCCACAAACGGACGTGAACAGATGTTTGGTCGCCTGCCCGACCACAGCGGGTTTGTCCGGGTGTTCCAGTTTCTTCTCACATATCAAGACCCGTTGCACGTTACCATCTGAACCAACAAGGGTGATTGATATAGTCGATATAACTAGTTGATATACATAATCTTTTCTTATTAGTTGTTATAGAATAAATAATATTTATATTACGACTTGTACTCACTTTTCAAGATCATTGCAGGTATCGAACTATTAACTCGGCAAAAGAAAAAAATGGAAAATAGAGTTACCAAGGTTGTTTGAAATTGTATAAATTAAACCTACATAATGAAACTACTTGTAAAGCTATATTAGATAAAGGTTACGTATTCGTACAACTTCCATTGTCATCCATTTCTATGTTAGGTGACATCGGTCAACATTTAGC